GCAGCGGAAATGTGCCGCAGTGCGCGATCGGTACAATTTATATATAGTACACATGTATTCCGAATTGGTGAAATCGAATCTTTCCAACCGATTGCTACATTTGTCCTTATAAAATATATGTGTGTGCAGCTGCTGCATTTATTGTCTAACGAGCCTGTGCTCATATAGGCTACTACTCGACGGGAGGGCAGCTAATTTCTGATTTAATACGGCGCTTATATTATATGTAGAGAGAAAGAAAATATTCGCGATATGTAAAATCGTTGAGAAACTCGAGCTGTGAAAAATGCAGCCATATCTTTTTCTTTTTGAAACGAGTTTACCATAGCTCGTGCATATACATGTGTGTTCCACGATTAATCAACGTGAGCCAAAGATTTCGTCACGTTCATCACGCTGCGCGCGCAGACGACGTTACATCGAGATGGAAAAATAAATAAAAATGTTCATCGTGCGCGACAACGACAGATTCATTTATGTGTTTTTTATAGTTAAAATAGAAGCGATCCACCGCGCGAATAAGTCTATATCATCGGGATTGAATTTCGCAAAGTATGGAGGAGAAAAGGAATGCGACGTTGGCGTTGACGTTGTTGTCGTTAATGGAGGAACCTCAATACGACAAATATACGTATTCCTTTTATCCATTCAACTTCCTACACACCCCGAGTCGTGCGCGCGGGTAAATCGACACATATAATTCCATACGTCGAAGCGTCTAATCGATGAGTTCGATCTTATAGATGGGGCGATTTTGTGCTATACGGGTCATTAGCGTGGCGTCGTCGATATATAGGTATTATATCGTTCGTCGAGTGGGGAGAACGAAGAAACACTTATTTTATTTTCCTTTTTTTTCTTTTTTTTTAATCTCACACCGGGAATTGACACCGATACGTCGAACTTTTCGCGCGTCGTTTCGCAGGAGGCCACTGACTTTATTTTTATTATCCACGAAAGGAAAAAAAAAGGTATTCGCGAGAAAGGGAACACTTTCACCCGATGATAATGGTTAATGATGATGGCGATGATGCACACGCTGCCACTTTACAACCGGATTTCTGCAGCATCCTCCGCGCGCGGTTCGGGCTTCTTTCTCCTCTCTCTCTCTGCCTTATCGTCGCGAACGAGATTCTTTTCTTGCGCGCGAGTGGGCCACGCGCATTTCGTTTTATTTCACTTTTTTATTTTCGCCGCATTCCAGGTTAAAAAAAGCGCGTGTACACCGCGCTCTGTCCTCTTAGCTCCCCCTGCGCGCGCGCGGATGATGATCGCTCTCGAGAAGCAGGAAAAAGTTCGATGGGAGACGCATTGGAAATAAAAAAATATATATAATATTCGCCCGGGTCGACAAAAAGGATCATTTCTTCGGATATGATTCATTGTTGTTTCTGCGGTTGCATAATTTTCTCATTTAAATAACTCGAATCACATCGATGCGAGGCCCCGATATACGCAGTATATAAATGAAGAGCGACGAAAATACACGCGAAGAAGAAAAGCAAGAACGTAATAATCAACGCGACGACAAATTTTTTTGTTTTCTTCGTATACTATCTGCGCGTATCGCGTCGTGTTGGATGTTAATATGTAATGTACGATGATAATCCATAAGACGCGTGTGTCCACGAGACGCGTCTCATCATCATCACCATCATCATCACCATCATCATCATCATCATCATCGTCGTCGTTCTGCCGATGAAGAATAAAATTTCATCGCGGCGCGGATGATCCTCGCGGCCAACAAACACGTAATAATTCAAGCGCAGAGGTCGACTCCTGCGCGCAAAGTTAAATTATCTTACGTGCAGCCGTTTGCCGCGCACATAGCTGCCATGTAATTTATCTCGGTGCGGCATAATGCGTGCGCGCGTGTATAATAGCATCTTCCTATACATAATATAATATGCAACAACTATGCGATATTCAGATTTTCAGTTCAGATACGAGTTGCGCCGAGTAGTAGTAGTAGTAGTAGTAGTAGTAGGCTCCGCGGATAATTGAGCTGACGAAGGAATAAAAGAGGAAAAATAGAGATAGAGAAAAAAAATAGCCACGTCTTTATCGATAGCGAGCGATGCATGTTTTGCATTTTGCAGAGTCTCTCTCTCTAGACTCTAGCTCGCGATGGCAATTTACCTTCGTACATATACCGAACAAAGTCGAGCTCGCGTAGATAGATCGAGACAGAGAGACAGAGATCTCGTATACGTGTAATTAGTCTCGGCGCCGATCGACCATTTGCCATTTAAACGACCTGTGCGGTGTTTCAACAATGTGCTGCAACACACAACACAGCGCATGCAGCACTAACGATAGATCACAGGTGCTGCTGCTGCTGCACGACGCTGTGTGTACGTGTGCCCTCTCGCCGATGACCTCTGACCTTCAGCCGCGCACACGCCGGAATACGTATAAGCGCGATTCGCTATCTCATTATGCCTATTATACTATTTGCGCATCGTGTGCTGTTGTACGAGACGTTTCTTGGGAATCGACTTTGGTCGGCAGATTCGCTTCCTCGGCTGTGTTTTAGCTGGTGGTTATTTTTTTTTTTTTTTTCATACCTCTTCTCGAGACGAACGTGACGACTGCGATTTTCTCGCTGGTATAGCCGAGCTATAGGCTACGAAATTTCGTCCTTATTAAACGAAATTCGTACCCTCTTCGCGTGCCCATCCAATTTCGAGCCGCAGGAAGTGATCTTTTCACGCGTACGCCTTGGCGCACGGAATAATCGTTCAAATATTTTTGATTGTATTTACACACAATATACTCGTGGGTGACGTCATATATTACACCAGAGGCGCGTATAAGTAGCCGTCATTGTATCTCTCTCGGAAGGCGATCGGAACGATTCGCGATTTTAACGTCGATACACACATATCGGTACAGAAATTCTTTCGCGCACTCGTGCAAAAGCGAACATGATCGCGCGCCGCTTCCTCCTCATGCTGATCGCGGCGCGAGAAACGGTTCACGCTCGCGCGCGCGCGCGCCCGCTCATTCGTCTAATTTCCGAGCGAAGCGTGAAAAACGGTGCGTTATCCATCATACGTGTGTGTGTGTGTGTGTCTGGCGTGTTTCCCGAGATTTATGTAATACATCTTGTCAATGAAGCGCGCTCCTCTCCGTATACAAAATGTTTTATGCACGTTCACCTTAACGATCCGCCCGAAGAGCCGAGGCAGCCGCGATAACGGTACACTTACACCGTGCAAAAAAAAAACAGAATCAAAAAGAAGAAAAAAATGTTCGTACGATATTCGTATATGTGTACGCCTTCTCTCTCATAGTGTGAAAATCCGTGAAGGAACGGGGAGCGGGGTATGTAGGATACTGGCTTTGCCCGTTACTCTTCTCTAGATGTTATGCCGCCGAATCGATAAATGATGTTACACTCGGTTTTTAATAATAAAAACTATTAACAATTTAATATTTGAAAACTTAGATATATACAAAAAAAAGTAACGAAATCTTAATGAGAAAATCGATGCTACAAGATCGAGAAGTTATCGCCTGCTCTGAGCGCGTATACTTTTTCAACTGTACCTTAGCACGAGCCAAGATGTTGCCAACGGCACATACGCGATCTTACCGCTGAGAGTGCGCGATTGACGAAGTTTTACATTCAAATACAAAACGAACATACACGAGCGAACATAGTGTTTATAACAATGCGATCGCGCAGACGTGTATCGCGCATTGTAATAATGCCCGAACACATCGCGCGAATATAATCCGCGCGCGGACGCGTCATTGTGCGTGTCCAAAAGATCATCGACTCCTTCTTGCTGCTAGCTGCTTTTTTTTTTAAGGTCATCCTCGACCCACGCGGTACATTAAGGACGCGCGATGGAGAGTGAACGATTTTCCTGGCCGCCTTGTGGCCGGCCTGCGTCGTCGTTTTTATTGCACTTTCACGCGCCGCGCGCATAATAAAAAATTCAAAAAGCATATGTACGTATATACGCATCCGCAATCTGGAGCGAAGAAAGCTTTTTTATATACGCGAAGAGAGTGCAAATTGAGATTGTACGATTGCATGTCGGCCACACGTATATATGTATAACACACGCGTTTGCATGCATCGAAATTTTATTTCATTTTTTATTATTTTTTTAATTTTATTGTGGTTGGCCTACATCGGGGGAGACTCCGAATGTGGTTCAAATTTTCGAAACCGTGTTTATATATACGCGAGCGATCGGGTGTTAGACGGATGGATAATAATAAACGTGCTCCAACACGAACGAGATCGACCGCAAACACGCGAACTCGCTTGGATTTTTGCGTTGTTCTGCAATTTGACGAACGAGTGGAGCACGACGCGCATGTCACGCAGTGAGTGTCATCGATACCATAAGCACAAGTGTAATCGAGGTTCGTCGCGATATTTTCGAAACCAGCGGCAGCAAAGTCGCGAGGATCGAAATTCGATCGCGAGTTTAGAAAATCGATAGTCGCGCGCGCGCGCCTTGTAAACGACGATGCGTTTACCCGCACACACAGACATTAGCTTGTGAGAATTGCGCTATAGCAGCGAATCGTTTCGCGAGGTATCCGTTTTTGCTGGGATATTTTTGATCGCGCGGCGTAGCTCGAAATGAATCGCGAATTTTTTTTCTTATTCCGCCATTTTAATTTTACCAATTCTTAAGTAGAATAGTTACTTCTGTGATGACAAAATTGTTCCCAATTGTTTGACTTATATTATTATTTTGACTTTACCGCTTGGATATTCTCAGATAAAGATATTCTCCACCTAGCGGCAGAGAATGCAAGTGATATTACCCGATTTGAAACGATTGAAATCTGGTCCAAATTTGTTAACTCATCATCGAATTTTGTATAGCTAAAATACGCTAGTATTAGTAGAGTAAACTCGAGCGAATTAAATTTTACAAAAAAAAGGGATCGCAATATAACATATAAAATCAATGAAAAAACGACCGAAAAATAACGCTCTCCCGTTCTTCTTTTTTTGTCTCGCACAGCTCCGTACAATGCCGTGTCAGCGGCAGCAGGACTGTCGGATCGCGAGGCGCGGATGTCTCTGCACACGACGGAGTCGCCTCGCGCCAAGATACGCCGCGAGCAGGCCTTCCGTAACGTCCTGGCGGCTCGACGTCGCAAGATGGTCCGACAACGGACTGGCGGCGCAGCAGCAGCAGCTTCAGCATCAGCGATTGGGATGATGCAGCAGGAGACTAGCAACCACAGCAAATACAGCAGTAGCGCAGCCGTTAGAATGGCCCAGAGACGAAGACAGACGAAGAAACCAACGACGCTGGCGGCGGCGGTGGCGAGGGACGATTTGCTCGAGATGCAGGAGACGCAGAACGGCGTTTATCTGACGGTGCCGGAACAGCAGCACTCGATCAACGATACGAGCAGCCCGGAGATCGTCATCAGGACTCTTGCTACCAAGTGAGTATGCGCGTCCTGTGCCTTCCTCTCTCTCTATCTCCTTTTCACATGGCATTTCGCTTATTATTCCTCTCTGTCTCTCTTCTGTTCGTTCGCTGCAGTTCTAAGCGCAGCGGCAACGGCACTTCGAAATCGTCCAACCGGAACAGCAACAACGGTGCAGTGGCATCGATGGAGCAGCAGCAGCAGCAGCGCGGCAAGAAAATCGTCGTCATGCCGGCGTCTCTCTACAATCACTTCAATCCCGTGGAGAGCAACATCCCCATCGAGGACATGTCCCAGTTCCTGTATTTCGGCCAAAAATTAAAAGGAACCGGTAGGTCGAGCGGCTTATGTTATATATACACCGCACCAACAGCTTTTCCTTTTTGCGAAAGTATGTTCTTCTTTTTCTGCGTGTCTCTGCGCGCTCAAAGCTCTCTCGCTTGCCTTCTTGCCTTTTCTTCCTTTCTTTCGCTGCGCGTTTGCAATTTATAATACACACTCGCGCACAAAAACTAACGGTACTTTTACTCTCTTTGCGGCTGACGCCAGCAACAGCAGCAGCAGCAACGTTTGCTTGCATTATTATTTACGCGCTGTATTTTTTTCGGCCTCTCGAGCTCTCTCGCGCACGTTTTACTTTCCGTTTTTCGCGATGATGCCAGAGCTCCAGCAGCTATGACGTTGCAACACGTCGCTTATGCTTATTAATAATTTTACTATCGTCGGCGAGTAATCGATTAGCTAATCACCAAGTCAAATTACCAGGTGTTTATATCGGTGCTCGGCCGATTCGAACGCACTCGCGAGCTGTAATCCTGCGCAAAGGTAATGATAATAACAATAATAATAGTAATAATGTCATTGGAAAATTGCCGAGAATAATAATCGCGAGGCGGCTCTCTCTCTCTCTCTCTTCGATGAGGTCGTAATTTACCTCGCGCAGTGCCGCGATTATTGCTACACGAAATTATATTTACGCACCAGCGCAAAAACACAATAAACTCAGTACATAAATAATGTCAAATTATTTTTACGCAGAACCGGTGTCGAGTCAGCAACCGATGAAGACCAAAAAACTGCTGGAGATCCTCGACGAGGAGATGAACAGCGTCGATCGCGCCAGTGGTCCAGCGTCCAAGTCCACCAAGATGCGCACGACGAGCCAGCGTGAGCACACGACTGTGTCCGCAGCTGCCGAAAATTTCGAGACGCATCGCAAGAAAAACAGCAGCAGCAGCAGCGCGACGAACAGTCATCATCATCATCATCATCATCATTATCATTATCAGCACTCGAGGGTAGTCGCCAACGGGACGAGTGGTACGACGAGTACGACAACGACGACGAGTACGAGCACGAGCACAACGACGACAGCTCCAACGAGCATCGTCAAGGTACGCGTGCAATTTGTATATGGGCTATTCCACAACAGGTGTTGCAGGCCCAAAAAATGAAGTTGAAAGTAACCATTTACTCTTCAAGAACACAATGAAAAATGAAAATCCTGAAGAGCACAGCCCCCTAGGTCCAACCCTTATGGATCTACAGGGGCTCAAAGTTGGATTTTCATGGTATGAGGATATTCTGCTTCTTACTCTGCTTTTCTGGGGGGACATAAGAAAAAATTTTTAAACCATGTTTTTTCATGTAAAATTTGATGTAGAATTCAAATCTGTACTCAGATGAGACATTAATAACCTCAAAACCCCTTGAAATAGAAAGTATGGTGTAATAGGACATAAATGTCAAAAAAAAAATATGTTCGTATACCTCAAATCAGCCCATATTGTAATATGTTCATCGATACACCAAAATACAACTTCTGATAAAGTTTGGTAACTGAGTCTCCATTACAGATCATTATGTAGCTTTTGAAAGCCCAAAAAACATGGTTTTTTCCTCATTTTCCATGTTTTTTGCCTCTTCGCTAGCTACCAAATTGTCTGTAATGGAGACTCAGTTACCAAACTTTATCAGAAGTTGTATTTTGGTGTATCGATGAACATATTACAATATGGGCTGATTTGAGGTATACGAACATATTTTTTTTTTGACATTTATGTCCTATTACACCATACTTTCTATTTCAAGGGGTTTTGAGGTTATTAATGTCTCATCTGAGTACAGATTTGAATTCTACATCAAATTTTACATGAAAAAACATGGTTTAAAAATTTTTTCTTATGTCCCCCCAGAAAAGCAGAGTAAGAAGCAGAATATCCTCATACCATGAAAATCCAACTTTGAGCCCCTGTAGATCCATAAGGGTTGGACCTAGGGGGCTGTGCCCTTCAGGATTTTCATTTTTCATTGTGTTCTTGAAGAGTAAATGGTTACTTTCAACTTCATTTTTTGGGCCTGCAACACCTGTTGTGGAATAGCCCATATGTAAAAGCTTCGAGTTCATAATATGCGAAATCGAGCACGCGTATCATTTAATGGAGCTGCAGCTAATATATCGTTCGCGTTCGCCAATTGAGTAATAAGTCAGCTCGCTAAACGAATTGCTGTACATTCGTATAAATTATAGCCACGCGATAGTCCTCTCTCTCTCTCGGGCGCGCGCTGCTCGAGGAGCAAGTATATCAATCGCGCATGAAAATTTATTGAAATCGCGTTTTCCTCTCTAAGTATATTTTTTTTTCTATAACTCGCAAACGTTTTCTTTTTTTTTTTTCTTAATCAATCTGTATACACCACAGGCGCCGAACGTGACGAACGGTATCAGAGCAGCGCCAGCGAGCTGGAGTGCATCTAGCACGAGCGAATCCGCAGCAGCGGGAGCAGCAGCGATATCAACGACGCAGCAGCAGCAGCAGCAGCAGGCTCATACTGTAACATCGCAGCTACAGCGCCGTGGCGGCTCGCAGTTGCGCAACTCTACCGGCAGCGGTTCGAGCGGCAGCAGCGGCAGTGGAGTCGTCGCGAGCAATCGGCAACAGCAGCAGCCGCAGCTCGGCAGTACCGGCTCGAGCGTCGAGCAGCAGACATCGCAGCCGCAACAACAGCAGCAGCCGTCCTCCCAGTCGCATCGCGTGAGAACTCGGCTACCTCCGTCGTCTACTACTACTACGACTACTACGACTACGACTACGACTACTGTCACTCCTCCCACCAGTCATCATCAGCAGAAACAACAGCAGAAGGAAAAGCAGTCCTCGACTGGATTCACGATAAGGTGGACAGACACCAGGAACAAGAGGCGCAGGCTCGCCTCTTCCAGTAGGCGGCAAAAGTCCGCGAGAAACATGGACGAGCTGTCGTCGTCGTCCGCGAACGGCGACACCAATGATAATAACGGTTTCAATAAGGCCGTCGATGCCACGAGTAGTAGTACGACGACCACGAGCAGGACAACGACGACGACCGGTAATAACAGCAACAACGACACCGCCAATGAGAATGACGACTCGGGCCTGCAGTCGTCGATGGACGACGTCGAGCTGATGCAGACGTCGACGGACGAGGCTCCGAAAATGTTGGACGCGTCGGAAGTGCAGAAGATGTATCGCGCCGGCAGTACGAGTAGTAGTACAACGACGTCGACGACGACGACTCCGAATTCGATTAGCAGTAGCAGCAGCAGCAGTATTAACAGTAGTGGTATCGGTGCCGAGAGTGCAGTAAAGCAACAGGTTTCAACGAGCAATGCCAGCGCGAGCGTCAGTCCGGAGCGCTCGCCAGAAGTGCGAGGACGTAATTTAGACGACAAGTCCAAGGACGACGTGCTGCCGATCATGCAGCTCTACAATAACACGTCGAGCATGTTCAACGAGACTATCGGTGGGGGTGGTAGCGATGTTGTTGTCGTCACGGCGTTGCCCACCGAAAGGATATCGACGACGTCGACGACGAGCAAGCCGACCGCGAGCGCGACCATAACATCGACGACGACCACTACGACGACGACCACCACCACAACGACGACGACGCAGAGGCCAGTAGTAGTGAACGCGAATAATAATTATAATAATAATAATAATCATAAAAATAGTCATAATAGAACGACGACGAGTACGGCAAAAACAACGCCGCCGCCGCCGCCGCATAATAGGCTGAACAGTGCCGGTTACAATCCGCTCGACTCGTACATTGCTTTTAACGGTAGTAGTGCTGCCAGTGGTGGTGTTGGTGTTAGTGTTGGTAGTGGTGGTGGTGGTGCTGCCGCTGGTGCCGTTGGCGCCGCGGCCGCAGCCGTGGGCCCGGAGCTGCTGCTGCCGGCCTACGGCAACGTGAGTGAGGTCGTGTCGCGCAGGCACGACACCGGCGACACGGTGCTCGCCAGCCAGGAGACCGTCACCGTGGTCAGCATCATACTGGGCACTCTGCTCCTGTTTCCCATTGTTCTGGGCATCGGACTGATATTCAGAAGACTGATAATTAAGAATCGTAAGGTGAGCACGGCAGCCTGTTTTTTTTCTCATCTTTCATTTTCTTTTCTTTTTTTGGCGAGGCTTTCAAATTGAGCGAAAGAGAGAGATAATAGAGAGTGAAAGGTGAGCACACGTGCTTGATGTATACGCGCACACACATAAGTATACACGAGCCGTATATCGGCTCGTAAGAGCCAAAAATATATATGTTATAAGTGACTTTATATGGCCCATTCGTATGCAAAAAATGCCCGTGATGAAAATTGATCGAACGAAAGTGAATACACGCGTACACCTTGGCATTCGCGCGGATATCTCACTCGCGTTAATTCATTTCGAACGTGCATTCACCTTTATGCGCGCGTTCGCTCCGCCATTCCTCCTCGTGCTTTTTTCTTGTTGCTTTCGGCCATTCAAGCTCGCTTTAAATACATATAAATACACGCGGTACGCACGCGCGTTTGCGTACAAAAAAAAATATTATTTTAAACGCGCCGGACGATTTAAAACGCCGTATAAATGCTCCGAAATGAATAAAAAAGAAGAAGAGAGAAGATTCTTTCACCTCGCGCGTGGACGCGATTTTATTCGTGGCATTTGAATACGCGATTGTGTGTGTTTACACAGTGACCCGTTGATATTTTAATTTTTTTTTCTCTCTCTTGCCCCCACCGCTTCTATACGCGTATACTATATACTACTACGCAGTTATGCGCTCGTTTGTGTATATACATATAATGTGTATATCGAAACCTTGAGAGCAGAAAGACGAGCCCAAAAATGTCGTCGCGTAATTTTTTACGCGCCGATTCTCCAACGGGTTTTTTTTTTCGAAAAAATCTCGTGATTTTGACGGATCACGGAGGTTTCGTCCACGCGACGGCTTCATAAGCATCTCATTATCATGCCTAATGATCCGCAGTAAGTAAGGCAAACCGAAAAACTTGAGGCTAGCTTCCATGTGCGATGGAGTGTGTATTATATACGGACGACGCGTTTATTATTCAGCGCTATGTTGTGACGGGAGAAAAAAGTGGGGAAAGAGGAAGAAGGAAAAAAAAGGTAAACATCGCGTTGTCAGCAGCGGCGACTAAATCTCTCAAATTATATACGTCTTTCCTCTCGACTCTTAAATCACTGGAGCGCGACACGATCGATCGAAGCCGCACAACAACAAATCTCGGAGAACCGGAAAATAAAAGACACCACAAACTTGACCCAGAACGCGCCTCGTGTATCTGTGTGTCTGTCTGTGTGTGTGTAATTATATTAGATGACTTATCGGCGAGCGCGTTCGCATCGACCGCGCGTTGTCCTTTAATCCGACGACGATCTACAGCGGCTATAGACCGCTCGTATAGGCGATTCTTCTGTACCGCTACATACAAAAGCACAGCGACAGTAAAAAAAAACACACAGGCTAATTAGGTGCGTTTTAAAAAAAAAAGTCGCACACTGCAGCCATTCGGATTCAACGTATATCTCTATTTTCTCGTGTATTTTCTATATACACGCGTATACAACAAATGTACTCGTAATGGGGATAACCGCCGTGCCCGCCGTAGCATTTATAAGGCGCAGGATTGATGAATCACGCGCGTTAATAACGAGAGGCAAAGAAAAAAAAAAGAAAAAAAATGAAGGATTTTTTCCGACCGATATTTATACACACTCGCTCGCAGCAGCGCAGCTCGGAGCGAGTATTATACGGCGGTGTTAAAGGCCATCGATTTCTTCGCTGCTGCATACGCGCGGACTGCAGGTGGAGTACATTTACACGAACGTCGATCGCTCGCTCGTGCTATATAATAGCTGCGCAGCAGAGATCTATGGACGGTCTGTGTGTCTGTGTAACAGGTGTTAATTAGAGAGAGAGAGAGAGATATATATACAAAGGCGAGGAGCTGCTGCGCATCCCGCTAAAAGAAGTTGTTACTCGCGTTGGGGCTGCAAAATACAGATAGAGAGAGAGTATATAATGTATCGTGTGTCTGTCTTAACTCGCGCGCGCGAGCGGGAATCAATGTACTTTGGAGCCCCCTCGTCGTAAATAGTTATCCAAGCACGTTCGATGTTTTGTCTACAAACACGATCGTCAAAAAGGCCAATCGTCGCGAGAGACCTGCCTCTATATACATATTCGTAACTATATAATTCGTTATTTTTCAAACCGCATAGGGAGTATAAGATGGAAAAGTATCTCGAGAGCTTTGGAGCGAACGTATTGTGTTTATCTATTGTTCCTCGCGATTCGGTGTGTAATAATATAAAATACATATATACCATTATTCGACAACCTGCATAAATCAATACACCACGAGAAAAAAAGGGTTTGAATAAACAGTCGTGCGCGTACCAGAATCTGTCTTATATTGTTGTATTCCTGCGCTATACCCTCTCGTAAAGTTGTCGGTACAAAATCGCCAAATCTGAATCACCCAGCGCGCGACGTGTGGCAAAGCGTGTATTATTATTTTTATTTTTTTGTTCTTTCTCGGAGCTCTCCGCCAGTCAGACAGCGTGCCACGCCGACGTTGTGCATTCTGCACTTTTGGCGAACTTCTTCTTCTTATTTTTTTTTTGTTTCTCGGTTCGAGCATTATATGCTCTTGCACGCACGCGCGCGCGCGCTTGGAAGAGAGAGAGAAGCTAATTTATATGCGTTTTTTTTAAAGCCGAATTTTTACGAGCTCGCACAAGCAGTCCACTCAAAAGTCTCCCTCCCTCTCCCGCACACCTGTGTATGCGCCGATAAAGTATATAAAAGAAAAGAAGAAAAGAAAAACAGAGAACAATTTGCCGCGCGCGCGGTGACTAATTCCAATATGCGCGAATCTCGAGCAATCTTGAACTATTGATCTTGAACGAAAACTTGAGTCCTGCACTACACCGCGGCATTTACAATTCCTTCGCTTCTCTTTTCTTTTATTATCGCACGCTCGAGCTGATTTAAAATGCAGACGTTATATATATATAGGAGGCAGCTTAAAACGCGAGCGTAAAAAGTGTTGCGCTTATATTCGAATGACTTTGACGCGTGCATATTCGTGTGATCGGAGCTCGCTCGGGATAACAATACACCGCAGCAGCAGCGCCGAAGCCGTTTGCGGTCGCGCACAGCCTGGCCAAATGGAAAATCGGTACCGGTTTATTATTGTATTTTACGATAAACGCTCCTCTCGGCTCTTGCGAGAGAGAGAGAGAGATTCGATTTGTCGATTCGCGATTTATATATTTATATCTATATCGGCGTGGAAACGAAAGTGCAGCGTTATATTATTATACGAGCTAGTGCCCAAGAGAAAAATAAAGTATCCGATCCCGAGTTTTTTTTTTGCCCGCACAGGATATGTTTACTTATCTCAATTGGATTCGTCGATTAATTATAATTATATATATGGGGCCTATACAGCCCGAGGATTATGTTATATGTAGTATATAGAAACATCGACGCGTACACAATAATAAGCCGAGAGCAATTAGAATCGACTTTACGTATCCACGCGCGTACGTATATTTACGGAAATTTCACTTTTGGCCCGCGAGCCTACCTAATATTTCCGCCCTCGGTCGGCGTTCGAGCGTATAATATCGTACACCAGATATCGACGTATCTCTCGAATGTTTATTAGCGGCAATGCATTAGGATTTCGCGGTGGCTGAAAAAAAAACTTCTAGCCAAGAGTATTTGTCTTTCCATTCTGCATTAGAAAAATTCTCACAGCACAAAACTTTCTATACGTAATGGCATTATAAAATAATAAAATTTATAACGCGATGTGTGTGTGTGTGTGCGTTCGTTGCTTTCGGTCGCGATTAATCTTGCATCTATATAATACGAAAAATTCGAGCGCTACATCGCCGGGCTGTGATTCATACGTTTGCAAATATAAAAAAGAAACGCGAAGAGCGAGCGAGAGAGAAAAAAATGACGAATGCAAGCGGCAACGTAAGTTTGAGGTAATCGGACGATAAAGAAAAATACGCAAGGTAATGTACATACATACACACAAACGTACACGACTGTGCGCAGGTATTATATTGCGTAATAACACACGACACACACACACACAGACAGTTACACAGACCTCGAATATACCCGCATAATATGTAACGTTAGCGCGCCGCACTGCACTGCACTCGCGCGCCTGTTTATTATAATAATTGTACGTGCGTTACTATACACGCGTTCGCATCATCCCGTTGACTCTCGTTTATTACATCTGGTCAGCTGCTGCTGCTGCTGCTGCTGCGATTATATCGTTCGCTTTTTGCTTTCGATTTTTCACCTGATTTTTCCTCGAGATGCTTACGCGTGTGTATAAGCGAGCTTCTTTTTTCGCTGCGATGCATTTTGAAGCTTGAAAAAGTGCGAACGAGTCGTATCGCAGAAAAAAAAACAACGTGCCGTAAAGATTGTCAATTAAGTTTTCTTTGGATTCGCGTCGTAACAAAAAAAATAAATAATAAAGGTGAACGAGTTAACAGTCCATCCTAATTGAGGTATTGTAGTATTCGGAAATTTTTTCTGAATTCATTTTAAAATTAAGAATTTTGTATCATTGATGAAAAAAAAAAACGGGAATAATACGAAAACCAAAAAATCGAAGGCAAAATAAATCACTATAATGTCGCTCTCGTAAAAAAAAAAAGACATATAAAACTCGAGCTTTCGATTACATTCTAAGCAGAAGCTAGCCAAAACAATGCCGTCCATACAAACGTGCACACACACAAACACACGCAAGTAGGCCGCAAAACTTTCGCGCATAAAGTCGATTTCGTTCCCAAAGCGGCGGCGCAGCTCGATACTTTGGAGTAAAAAAAAAATGTCAATTACCAATACGCCCGAGAATGCGCAGAGATTCGTGACCGCGATTTATCACAACTCGTTCGATAAATTCCAAAAAAAAAAAAAAAACGTGTATGTAAGTTCACACTTTTTTTCCTCCACGATCCGCGTGTTCTGTATCCTCTATACGTATATATCCTCGATCGAGGAAAGACAGCTGAAACTCGGCACATCGCCGATGACCCACATAATCAACTGGGCCTGTCGTTATTTAACGGCTGACTTGTGTTACATTTATATATATATAAATGCGATATGTTTGTGTTCGACGCGCACGAATGTGTATCGCGCAATAAAATTGTCGAGTCCTCTCTCTCTCTCTCTCTCTCTGGAGGCGAAGCGAATTTTTCCCTCTTTATAAGAGAGCGAGATCGCACGCGGGGCACAAGCTGTAATTGTGCAACGAAAATTGCGATCGCCGTTCCAGGTATATATATGAGCAGTTTTTTCATATATGTACAACTTTTGTGCGGGGGGTTCTCGGATCTGCCCCAAAATTTAGTATGTTATTTGGGTATGTGAAAATAGCCTTCAGGTAAATTTTTAGCCCTCTAGGGGCCTTAGGGCCCAAATTTGGGCCCCTCGAAGGTCCAAAAATAGCCGTTTTTACCTATTTTTGCGTATTATTCAAATATTTGTAACTCGGGCACCGGTGCATATTTTTTAACTCTGAGGGTCGCATTTTTTAGGTCAAGACATGTACTTTTCGTAAAAAAATTATGTAGAGCTCGATAGACCAACCCCCGGTTATGGGGGGGCAATGAAGGGGGATGAAAAATCGCAAAATTGACGTTTTTTAGCTTTTTTTGAATTGATGCAGAAGGCGACTGGATTGACGTATTTACTTTTGCAACGTCTCATTTTAAAGGTATTTTTATTACCTTTAAATTGCCGTGCGCAGAATTAAGATTGGTTCAAAAACGACGGAGATAGAGCTGTTTAAAGGTGTCAACATTATGAAAAAAGGCGTTTTTTCGAGATTTCGATAAGCTGTAACTTTTTTCTAGTAACATGAATCTCTTTGAAATTTTATGTGAAAGTAGTTGATTACATGTAGTTTGAAGCCATGTAGGTAAGGATCTTGGTATTTGCCTCTATAACCGAAAACGAGGCCCCCGAAATCCGGCACTTTAGCCCTTATATAGGCAAAATACATGTTAAATTGGGCGGCAAAACTATTTGGTAACTCCTGAAATTATCGCAAAATAAACATAAAAAAAAAATCAAAAACCCCATATTAAACGTATTTTTCGACGAGGAATCCAATGGTAACCTCGAATTTGACCTTGAACATAACCTCTAAACTATAGCGAACCAAAATTGATTTTTCGCACGGTGACCCCCTTTTTTTATTTCAGATTTGAAAAGAGCGGAAAATTTCACGTTCAAATACATATTTCGTTTTTTTTTTCAAGGTAATTTTAAGGGCCCCACAGATCAAGAATAAACTCTTTGGCTGAGTTTAATATTAGTTTTAATGGAGCCTTCATTTTCAAACTGTGGGGCCCTTAAAATTACCTTGAAAAAAAAAACGAAATATGTATTTGAACGTGAAATTTTCCGCTCTTTTCAAATCTGAAATAAAAAAAGGGGGTCACCGTGCGAAAAATCAATTTTGGTTCGCTATAGTTTAGAGGTTATGTTCAAGGTCAAATTCGAGGTTACCATTGGATTCCTCGTCGAAAAATACGTTTAATATGGGGTTTTTGATTTTTTTTTTATGTTTATTTTGCGATAATTTCAGGAGTTACCAAATAGTTTTGCCGCCCAATTTAACATGTATTTTGCCTATATAAGGGCTAAAGTGCCGGATTTCGGGGGCCTCGTTTTCGGTTATAGAGGCAAATACCAAGATCCTTACCTACATGGCTTCAAACTACATGTAATCAACTACTTTCACATAAAATTTCAAAGAGATTCATGTTACTAGAAAAAAGTTACAGCTTATCGAAATCTCGAAAAAACGCCTTTTTTCATAATGTTGACACCTTTAAACAGCTCTATCTCCGTCGTTTTTGAACCAATCTTAATTCTGCGCACGGCAATTTAAAGGTAATAAAAATACCTTTAAAATGAGACGTTGCAAAAGTAAATACGTCAATCCAGTCGCCTTCTGCATCAATTCAAAAAAAGCTAAAAAACGTCAATTTTGCGATTTTTCATCCCCCTTCATTGCCCCCCCATAACCGGGGGTTGGTCTATCGAGCTCTACATAATTTTTTTACGAAAAGTACATGTCTTGACCTAAAAAATGCGACCCTCAGAGTTAAAAAATATGCACCGGTGCCCGAGTTACAAATATTTGAATAATACGCAAAAATAGGTAAAAACGGCTATTTTTGGACCTTCGAGGGGCCCAAATTTGGGCCCTAAGGCCCCTAGAGGGCTAAAAATTTACCTGAAGGCTATTTTCACATACCCAAATAACATACTAAATTTTGGGGCAGATCCGAGAACCCCCCGCACAAAAGTTGTACATATATGAAAAAACTGCTCATATATACGGCCCCGATATACACAATACATAAAAATCTGCATCGCGCGCACGTGGCATCTATCATTCACTCTCGCTTCGTTTGTTTTTTTTCCTCTTGTCTTTCTTGTCCGCTCCCCAGAGGGGCAGAGAACGGAGCAAATAAAACGACGATAAACGCAATAGGCGCTGTATCCTAGTATACATACCTGGAGTTCGAATTTTTTTTTTTTTGCGTAATACATAAATATAATAAATCCATCAGTGGTCGGTGGGTTCGAGGAAAGAGATAAAAGCACGAAAATTACGCTCTTTTTTGCCAGTGTACATATCGATAAGTCGATATGCCATCCATCAATCTTGAGATATATATTTGCGAAGACCTAAATGGTATTTTTTTTATTATTAAATCCGCGCCGTATCGTGTTTGTTTATACTTAGAGCCGATACCGAGAAACGGAAATAGAGTTTGGGACCTCTTTTTTGTCGTCTCGAAATCAGCTCTACGAAAATCAGCGCGGCAAAATATTATTTAACCTTCCCCGCGCGCATTGTTCTTCGATTGGTTCAGTTTTTTAAAAGGTCACCTACTTTCGAAATGTAATACTTCTCAAAATTATCTCGCTCTCTCTCTCTCTCTCTCGCTCTCTTTCTTTCTCGCTCGAGATATCCTCGACTGCATAGCATTAATTTTATTTGCTCAACTAATTCGTATACCATCGTTCTTTCGTTTCCACCCAAGCAGATGCTCGAGGAGTCGGACACGTCGTCCGAGATAAGCTGCCGGAAGTACGCGCTGAACCTCGAGAGCGGAGATTACAAAATGCCCATCGAGAAGACCATGACGAAGCTGCCGAGGATACAGCACCTGGTGAGTATAAATTTTAGTGGATATTATTCGCAATTATTATTTGCGTCGTCTCTTCTCTCTCGGTATATATACAGCGTGCCGCATTGCGATGCACGTGTCGTGCCGGCGCAAAAGTGTCGCGACCCCCCCGCGTGCAGCGTACTACGTATCGTATACGCTCGAAAACCTGTTTCTTCTTTTCGTTGTATGTTCGCGCGGGCGCCCGCGCGCGTACAATATCGTACATATATATATTTATGCGTTTATATATACCTGTCTCCGCGTGTGTGCGTTTCGATTATAAAAGTTGTTTTTCTGTTATGCGCTCATAATGCTATACGCGCCGCGGACACGAGGCGGCCCTCGATCGTGTGGGTATGAATGCCGCATGTGTGTTTGTGTATATAGTTAATGAGATGGACACGATACATAGCGGCAATGGAGCTGCTCCTGCTGCTGCCGTTTTCCGTGTCTCTCTTTATGTATCGTGCGCAGTTTATACACAGCACACGGCACAAGCATATGAGAATACCGTTATAATCTGGCTGGATTATTTTTAGCTCGATTTTGCGCGATCTTGTTTCGAGATGTGCGCATGCCCCGTGCGCTGCGTTGTGCATGCGCACTACGGTGCTCTGTGCGCTATGCGCGTGGATACAATTTTTTTTCTCCGAAACAGGAATTGGAACATGCACAAGCGTACGGATTTCATGTTCTTATGGACAAAAAATATATTCGCACATAGCGTAAAGCACGAATGCGCGCGAACACATGCACGAGTTATTCCGAAGTGACGGAGTTTTTTAAGGACGTCGAGTGTGAGCAGTAAAACCTTAAAAATCGAATAGGCCACTCAATGAAGGGGCCGGGTTATGTTTTTGGGCTCTGCATTAGAAAGTAGATAATTGTATGCGCAGCGATGACTTCCGAAACGCTTGCGACACGAGCCCAATTCACGTCTAGGTCGACTATTACAGAAAAGAAAGTATCGGGAACTTCGAAAGCACACAAGTGACTTTTTAAACTTCATCGCGAGGGGTTGAAGACAATTTTCGTGTAATAATTCTACTGCTTGTCCGTAGAAATAATCGATCTTGCTATAACTGAAACTTACGCGCCCTTTACATTTTTATTTTTATTATTATTTTTAGATATTTTATACAGTTTTTTTATTTTGATTTTGCCGGTTCTCTTTATGAATTTCCAATGCACGATCCTGTCGAATAAATTATAACGACGCCGTAATAAATCATGCCTCGTGCGATTATCGCCCAAACGTTCGGTTGCATTCTGAAAAATATTTCGATGGGACCCCGCGACGCGACGCGTTACTTTTTTTTTTTTACGGTAAAAATTCGCACGCACTTTGGAAGATCCGAATGTTGTTTTCATTATAATAATCTTCTTCTTGTTTTTCAACAGTGCCACGAGTCGGAGAAGCCGCCACCGCCCGCGTCCCCGGAATCCAGATGGGAGTTTCCGCGCGACAAGCTGAGGCTGCAGACGGTTCTCGGCGAGGGTAATTTCGGCCAGGTATGGAAACTATCGTGAGATTTGCACGATTTCTTTTACACATAATTTTACGCAGTAGTTCGCGCTCGTCTGTATATATTTTTCTACGTGCGCGCGTATATGTGTGTGTGCTTTACACCAAAAGGCTACCGCGCGGCACGAGAGAAGAACTGCACACAGACAAGGATGCATTGACGAGGGTGTCGAGTTGAACGCTCTCTTTCTCTTTCTCTCTACTTCTCGGGCGGTCAGCAGTTCCAGGAAACGTTTTGCGCCTAGCGAGTAATATATACAGTGGAATGTTCATTATGACCTTTTTTTCTACGCGGCAACGTTGAGATTTGCGACTTTCAGAGAAGCAGCTATTCCAGGTTAAAATTCCATTCGTATATATGTATCGAGAGAAGAGAGAGAAAGAGAAAAAGAGCCAATATCATCGAAAGCTGAGATAGAAGAATGGAAAACAAAGAAGCTTCGCCGTGCTCCATGGAGCGTGTGCCCTACCCCGAAAAATATCAAGAATGCAGCAGCCTCTCTCGGCAGAATTCTCTCCTGCCACGGTGTAACTCGCACGTATAATGCACACACATATATACATACGTGTACAAAGTGTAGTAAAAGAGCAAAGATAAAAAAATAAATAGAAAATAAAACAAAACTAGACAGTCGAGCAAATATGGGATGAAACTAAAACTAACGAGTGTCGAAATTTGTGCACGTGTTGTACAGGTCTGGAAGGCGGAGGCGGACGATCTGACGGGTCACCAGGGCACGACGCGGCTCGTGGCCGTCAAGACAGTCAAGGAGGGCGCCTCGGAGCGCGAGAAGGAGGACCTCGTGCGCGAGCTCGAGATCATGCAAAAGGTCGGCAGCCATCCCAACGTAGTCACGCTTCTTGGATGCTGCACCGAACAAGGTAACGAATCCACTCGCGAGAGTGTCTTCTCGTGTTTCTTGCTGCCTCTTCTTACTTACTCTTCTTCTCGTGTGTGTGTTTGTAAAACGTTTGTTAAGTATCGCGCACGCTCACGATAGAGCCAACTCGATTGCTTTTATTTCGTTCTATTCTTTTTTTTTTCTTTTCGTTATTATTATTTACTCGCGCGCGCTCCAGATGGAGCATATATATATTTGGCATTCGTATTGTTTTGCAACGAGGCAGATCGGCAACACGTTCGCTCCTATGTATACGTACTGCCAAGCTCTCTGTACGATGTTCGATATTGATAAAAAAAAATTGTGTGTGTTTTATGCACTTATACGGCTTGGATTTCACAAGCGTATCGCGATCGACCTTAGAAAAATCGAGCTAAATTCGAGGAAAGACACACCGCGAATGGGGGATAACGTAATATACTCGTTGGAAATTAAAAAGCTTATAACATCATCGCGCTTACACATGTACAGCGCGTACCTACACACTGCAGATCTCGATGAATCGAAGCGTCTTCATTCGAGCTCGGTCATATTATATACGTAATATATTATATTTTATATACGCTTGAGACGTCAAATGTACGATAATACCTCGCGCTGCTGCAGCTTCGCGCGGGGTGTATTTGTGTGTACGATCCGGTGTGTAGTAGAAGTATATATACATCGCACGAGAGAGAAGGAGAGAACTAAGCTCGCTGCGCACACGTATGATATCTTTACCAACTCATCGCGCGGATTATTTTGCGAGTGAGAGAGCGTGTATGAGCCTGCGAGCATATAAATTTCACGCGTCCTCGCAAAAAGAGAGAAAGATAGAGAGAGAGAGAGAGGATCGCAATCTTCCGGCGTATATGCGCTCGTTTTTGAAATCGTAAAGTCGAGTTATAAAGTAACAAAAAGATATTTTTTTATCCATCTTTGTACCTCTTCGGCGTATATAAAAAAAAAAAAATGATAAAATTTTGTACGAAAAAATCAAGTCGAGTAATCAGAGCGTGCATGAGAGGCGTGCGTGTATACGCAAGCCGGCCGGTCTTACGAGGATGTTGATCGATCGGAACGATCTTGTACGATTAAACCCCGAATGTGTCTTCCAATTATGAGCACGTGAGAGATGTATAACTGTTGCGTCTTCTTTTTTTCGGTATAATACATAAACAGGATCAATCGTGCGCGATGACGTATCAATCGCTGCTAGAGTAAGTAGCGTTATAAAAAAAAATTGAAAAAAAAAACGTAATAAGACTTGATTATTTTGTATATACCGTATAGCGTTTGTATTATAAATCGTATACATTGTGAATCGGTCATTGCTTGGGAGACCAGCGAAAAAAAAACCATAGAAGCACGTGTATACCAGATTTACCGCCAATATGTGAATATTTTTATCTACATAAAATGACTCGACGCTTTTTGCGATATCTCCACTCTGTGTTCTTACATTAACATTTTTCACGAATAAAGAGGAGCTATACGCGCGCTGACGTAAAAGTCTAGAAAAATTTGTCAATCGAGCCGAAAAATGACGAAAAAAACAACGAAAACGACATAATGTGAAAAGAGTCGCGAGCCTCGTCAACAAAAATTCGTCGTTTCCAATCGATATCAAAAGCTATAAACAATCGGAAAGTCCCATACGGGGCCCGAGCAAAAAGTCCCTCTTATGCGCTCGGCGTGGTTACGTGTGTCTGTGGATAGTCTTCACCGCAGTTTCTTCATCCTATATATATACGTGTACGTATGTATAGTAGACGACTTGCTCGCTCGCGCGCCTCAGCGTATAAAGGTTTGTGCGTCGTTTTGCACCGCAAACATAAATTTATGCGTCTCGCGGATGAATTGAATAGTAGTATATAAACTTTTTGCGAAATGACCGACCTCATGGCTCTTGTGTGTGTGTGTGTGTGTTTGTACGAATCTGTGCTTATATAGTATAGGCGCGAGACAAAAGCCATACCTTTTATATACTAGCCCTTTGTTTTCTTCAAAACGACAGTAAAACGCGACAGTGTGTGTGCGCTGTAATATATATTTAAGCGACTTTCGATTAGGATTCGAACGTGCCCCTGTCAGTCATAAATCTGCGCAAGCTCCCCTCGTACTTATATTATATGGTATAGTTGTATATAATGGCGCACAGCGTATGTGTATACGCATTCGAGCGCGATTATATTAAGACGATCGGCTCGGATGAAGAAAAGAGAGAGAAAAAATAAACAACGACGTGCAACGAGCGAGGAGGAACCTTGATTGTCGCGTGCGCGCGCGAGTCCCGAGTGTAATATACGGTGCGGATGCGCGCGCGCCGACTCAAACGATCGGCAAATTTATCGACTGAATTTAATTTTCCGTCCGTCGAGTGTATATAATGGTTAATAGTAGCCGTGTGTGTGTACGAGAAAAGTGCGTGCGAATTGCTACAATTTTATTGGTCGCTCGCGTTGTTCACACACACACACATATTATAAGTACACACTGGGGGAGAACGAAGAACGTTTTTATCCTCTCGGAATTTTACGGTTTCGCGATGCGCGAAAAGCTCATACATATACGTACAATTTTTTTTTCTCTTAATTAAAAAGGCGGCGAGCAGCGGCGTAAACCTTGCACCTCGTTACAGGCTTGCAGTCAAGAAAAAAAAAGTCACGGGAAAAAAGAGAAAAAAAGACAGCGACGCGCCGCGCGCACATAATACACCGTATACCGCGATCAGCGTCGACAAAGGCGCATAACTCGAGCCGACCAAAAGTCAAATAAACCCGAAACTAAATTAACGAGTCGCAGGCGCGCACGGTCTGCACTTGGCTCGCCTCGCTCGTCTCCTGCGCGTCCGCACGATGCAGAACCACAGGAAAAGTGCCTATATATACGGTGGTCGGTATACTCTCTGTACACATTATAATACTTATGAGTAACACACGTAAGGCAGAGGAACTCGGGGCGAGCCGAGTTGCGCGCGAAAAAAAATGTTATATAGGTGCGTTATGTGCGCTCGCGCGAGACTTACAGAAAGTTTAAAAGGTTTCAAGGAACCCACACAAACACACTTGTGCTAAGCCCTTTTTCAAGGTTTCGAATCATCATCATCGTCGTCGTCGTCGTCGTCTTTGGCGCGTCGCCTCGTCACTCTCTCCTCTCGTTGTAACCGCAATTGTAATTTATGGCGTTTAAAATTTTTCGGGCCGCTGCTGCTGTTGATGCTTGCGGCCGTCGTAAGGAAATCTTTTCAAAGCTCTTATTTATTTATTATTTTTTTTTGAAATATTTTTTATTTTATTTTCAAACGCTGTCCCGCGAAAGTGTCTTCTATACATACCCTGCATATCCAGCACGTACACGCTGTACTGTGCCCCGAGTACATATACACGTCTCTGTGATTGTGCAATATACTTCACTCTCCGGGATGCATGTGCAAGAGCAATTATACGTCGGACGTCGTCGTCTCGTTGTTGTCGTTTCCCCTCCTTTTTATTTTATCCTCTTCTCTCTCTCTCTCTCGACTGTAAAAGAGATTTTAAATGCTCTAGATACACGTACCACAAACAACGGAGCGAGAGAGAGAGCCCCGAAGAGGTTCGTTTGTAGCCGATGTATAACGTCAATATAATGACGATATACAACGTTGACTTTTGCGTGAGCCGCTGCTGCTGCTGCTGTTGCTGCGTGTATATACGTACTACATTTTATTTGCTAGTGATTTATAGAGATAGAGGGGAGGGAGGGAGGAGAATTGCGGAGGACCTAAATCTTCGCTTCAAGTATATATGTGCGTGCATCCACGCCTCACGGCCACGAATGAGCTCGGCGCGTAGTACGTAGGTACTACAATGAGACTCTTCGTTATAAACCGAGTCTCTCACCCAAGAAAATTGAAATTAACGTCTCGCGCGGCGCTATTATATTATATTATATACATCGAAATACTCGAGAAAGAGCTGGAAAAACGAATTACCGATGTTTGTGCTCGCGACGGCGGTGACTAATCTCATTACAAACGCGATTACACGTAGCGCGCGTAATAGACTTTACGACGAAAAGTGTGCATTGTAGGCAGTGAACCGGTAGTATTGCACCTGTCGTAAAATTTAATCGCGCGAGTCCGTCTCGTCGCCCGGATATATTATATATTACTCTCTTATACGCGCATTATGTGTTTGTATTTGCGAATGCTCGCTCGAGACACAGAGAAGAAGATCCGCACCGTATGGTTACACGCGTACACGATATTATTACGCACTCATAATCCAAACTAGATCTTCCTTACACCGTGGCATTATTTCAAACGTACACGCGCGGACGTATCGTTGCGCGCATTCCTCGGCTATCGTACACACACATGTGATTACGACTGCGAGACGAGGTAATGTTTCTCTCTCTTTGGCCTGTCATGACTGCACCGCGCGTATTATAGGCTCTCGCGAGCTCGTACTATAATGTATTCTTCATACTGCACTACTCGGTATATAGCATCGCCGGGGAAAAAAAAGTTACGTACGTTCCCCCCTTTTGCGCGTCTGTAAATATCGCATACAGTGTATGTGTGTGTGTGTGTGCAGTGCAGCGCGTTAGACTCTAAATCTCGCCCTTGAATGGGATATGGGCGTTATAGTGTATGTGTGTGTGCATCGAGCGTTAATGCATACGTAATGCAAGACGCGCCGCCGCCGCCGTCGCTGCTGCTGTTGCTGAAGCTCGCGCGCGAACGTCTCGCGAGGCACAATGCCCTCGCGGCGATGCGATGTGTATACCTTGTATACATACATATAGGAAGACACATGCTACGAACGAAAGGGAGAGATCATTTTTTTTCTTCTTTTTTTGTTGTTGTTGTTGCTGTTGAGTCGCTGCCGCGCCATAGCGTACCCTGTAATACTTGCACCGTGCTGCGCGTCGTATCGCGTGCACAGGTGAGATCCTAAATCGCTCGCCTATATCTTTACGTGGGAAAAGTGTATCTATTTGTGTACGACCCATTATGGGATACGTATAATATACTCGAACGTATCGTAGAGGTATGTAAGCCGATGAACATGGGGCGATGTCGGCAAGTTCGTGGCACCAATCGCTAGATGGCGCATCGTTTTCTCGCAAGAGAAAAGGCCGAGTTCCGTAGATATAAGTCAGTTTAGTACGTTCGGTAGTAGATTATTGAAGAATGTTAAAAAAGTTTAACTAACTTCTACGATTAACCTTCATGCAAATGAAAAAAACAATTATCATCGTAAAATTCGCTGTAACTAGTCGCTAATGTTCACCAACTGATACAAGCAGATCTAAGTGAGAAACGGGTTTAAAATTTTTGACCCATCGACAACAAAAAAAGCCTGTACCCAGATCTGTATAATAGTTGTGTATACGGTTTGACGCTCGTGACGCTCGAGGAGATTATTACGTGAGCGCGTCGACGCGACGAAATTCAAACCAAAAGTGCCGCGCGCACATATATTACGGAGCTCCCTCCCCCCGCGCTCGCGCATAATATAACTCTCTTTCTACCTGTATAATGCGCGAAACGCGAAATATACACGTGTAGTACATGATGAATCGCGCGAAGCTGTATACAAACTCACGATCGAGCGGCGCGCAAAGTGTTGTCACATTTATATAGCTGTACTTTTGCCGCATAGTAAAGACACACACTCGAGTGTGTGTATGTACCACCGGCTGAAGTTACGTAAGAGCGGATTAAAAAAAAAAACACGTAACAATTAAAAATCGAGACTCGCGCGAAACAGGCATCGCTCACCGGGCGCGCGATATGACTTATCGCGCGACGGCGCCTCTGTATAAAAGCGTTGGGATTGATTTTTTTTTTCTTTTAGCCTCTCGATTTTTTTTGTACTCGCTCTCGGTGCATTATATATAGGTGAATTTTATGCATTCACAAACTCGGCGCGCACTCGGGCCGGCCGGCACGAACGTGATTCACGATCCGTGTGTGATGTGGCCACGCCAGGTTTTCTATTATTATGTACGTAGTGAGTGCGTATACGACCAGCCGAAAATTTCACCGTCAGCGACGAGTATTAAAAAAAAAGAATAAGAAAGAATAAAGCCAGACAGCTGAAAAGATTTACCGGGTCGTAACGAGCCGTCGCCGAGGAGAGAAGAGCTTGCAGCGAATAATATACGGCGTAGGTATACACAAAAGAAGAAAAAAAAGAGGCGAGAGCTGCGAACGAAATTGATCTCGTTCGAGGAGATTTTCGTGCGATATTCTGCTCTGCGCTGCATAAAACGCGCTCGCGTACAGCTGCAATTATGCAATTACGTCGGGGGGCCCGGCGTACATACATACAACGTACAGTGCGTTATACACGCGGCGGCGGCGGCGCTACGCGTATTCCTGCATAATAACAATAATATGTATCGAATTAACGAAACCGTATACAGGATAATAGTGCGAGGAATGCGTATAGTGCCGCGCGCGCGGGGCGAAGAGAAACAGAAAAAAAATCTTGTACAACGACGTAACTCTCGACTATCGCGAGTCGCGCGACTCGAAACTTCGGCGCAGTGTGCAGCAGGCTCCTCCGCCGGTGGTAACCTTGAAGCTCGACGCGCTGCACTCTTATATACATATATTTACATTGTATGTGTGTGTGTATAGCGTGTGGCATTATAAAGCATAAAACATTCGCTGCTCTATACGCGGCTTCTCTCTCACTCACTCGGAAATCATCCGTCGTGTAATGTACGTGTGTTGTATACCCGCAACGCCCCTCTTCCTCTCTCTCCCTTCCTCTCTCTCAAAAGCAGTGCGAGGCAGAGAGTTAGCTCACACATTGCGGGATAATCGCGCATTGTTTTGTCCGGCGTTATTTGTACGTCGTATACGTGGCGCGTACGAAATGCACACAGTGTGCTGTATCGCTAAATGAGTCACACGCACATACACAGACGAGCTTTAAAGGAGTGCAAGGTGAAATTCAGGCGTGCGTGTGCCGATCCCGAAACGCGACGATGCGCCGCGCACTCGTTAACCCATTAGCGCCCAGCCGGACACTTTTTTCAACTGAACTTTAGGCAAAAATCTTTACTATTCAGAATTTTGCTAAAAATTAACGAGTTCATGTATCTAACGGGAAATTTAATGCCCTTTTCGAATATGGCTTCAAAATTAATCTTAAAATTATTGTTCAAAAGTTATAAACAATTGAACAAAAAAAAACACGAATTGAAAAAAAAAAATTGTCTTCAACTCGAATTTTAAAACAGAAACAGGCTTGATACTTAGGTCCCGAGCACATTAAAGGTGTCCATGGGATGTAAACTGAAAATCCCAATATCCATAATATCGGAATTGGACATTTTTCATAAAAAAATGGCGCTTCGTAGAAAAAAGACCGTATATGAGCTAAACCAATTTTTTTACATGACAAGGATGCATTTAGGAAAAAAAGTTATATTGTAAAAGTTCTTAGAATTGTTCAAAGAACAACCCTGAATTTTTTCAGAATTTTTGGTGAAAATTTTTGAATTTTCGGAAAATGATGAAATCCAAAAAATCCAAAATTATTCGAAAAATTCAAAAATTTACACCAAAAATTCTGAAAAAATTCAGGGTTGTTCTTTGAACAATTCTAAGAACTTCTTCAATATAACTTTTTTTCCCAAATGCATCCTTGTCATGTAAAAAAATTGGTTTAGCTCATATACGGTCTTTTTTCTACGAAGCGCCATTTTTTTATGGAAAATGTCCAATTCCGATATTATGGATATTGGGATTTTCAGTTTACATCCCATGGACACCTTTAATGTGCTCGGGACCTAAGTATCAAGCCTGTTTCTGTTTTAAAATTCGAGTTGAAGACAATTTTTTTTTTTCAATTCGTGTTTTTTTTTTGTTCAATTGTTTATAACTTTTGAACAATAATTTTAAGATTAATTTTGAAGCCATATTCGAAAAGGGCATTAAATTTCCCGTTAGATACATGAACTCGTTAATTTTTAGCAAAATTCTGAATAGTAAAGATTTTTGCCTAAAGTTCAGTTGAAAAAAGTGTCCGGCTGGGCGCTAATGGGTTAAATCAAACAAATTCAGCGCATATATATTTAAGCATTTTTATCGCTCTCAGCAAAATCTTTCTCTCTCTATATATATTATGTGAACGCGCGACGACGAAGACGCAACGGGCTTTCGCGCAATCGTCGTTTCGCTCGCAATGTATGGAAACGTTTTTGAGTATTTTATTTAAAAAAAAAGCCAAAAAATACGTAGTATTTGTATTTGCTGAAATCATCGACGTACGAAGAGCGAATCCTCGAGTTGGATCGTGCCGCGCGGAGCCGAAAGCTCGTCGTCGCATAAGCGCCGATTTTCCCTTTTCTCAACACGCGACTGCGGTTGCGCAAAATATCTACTTAGCGCGCGCGCGAAAGCACGCCTAGTTTCACAAATGTATATTGCGCGATTTATTATATACGCACACACATCCTATATATTTGCCTATTACACATTATGTATCAATTCAAATATATATAGTTGCGAATCTCTTGTTTGACTTTTTTTTGTTCTTCCGTTTCTGTACACAGAACCGCACTATCTGATACTCGAGTACGTGATGTACGGCAAGCTGCTGACCTACCTGAGGGACCATCGCACCCGCCAGGACTTCTACAACTTCAGCGAGGACTCGGCCGCGCTGACGTCCCGCGACCTCACGGTCTTCGGCTATTGCGTCGCCCGCGGCATGGAGTACTTGGCGTCGAAAAAGGTAAGCCTTAATAAAGCTCTAATGTTATTATTAGTTCTTTGCACGTGCGTATCGGTACGCGTGATACATATTAAATCAACATTTTGTGCGCTAACTTTTCGGAGCCGCGCAGTCAGTCAACATTTTTTTCTCACTTTCACCCGAGACGCAGATTTATTTTATTTTATTCAGTACGCGCGCGTGCACGTAAGATATATATAATACATATAAATTCTTCCTCGATTTAATCGATACTCTTGCCATTATACACGTGCATTCGATTTATGGTATACGTTATTCGAGAGATGTTCGTGCCAATCACCGGCTATTTTTCAGCTGCGAGCTGTGCGCTAGCCGCCACACACACAAATGCTGCACATTAGCCCCCGACGACGACGACGACGACGACGATCGCGCTGCACGTGTGTGTTGGCGCGCGCACGCGAACATCGTGACCTTTCTTCGCCAAAGATCGCTATCCTGTATATAGAGGCAGCTCACATACATATATGTGTGGCTTCTCTCACTTCTCTCTCTTATCTAAGATGCATTGCTTCCTCGTTGCGTCGAACTCGTGCCCCGCGTGCAGCAGCAGCAGCAGCAGCATGAGAGCTCTAGACGCGATCCGCATCCATGCAGGCACTTGGAATATGTATTTGCAGCGGCGCGCACGCGATCGCGAGCTTAGAAAGTGTCATTAATCTGGAGCCGAAAGATATTATGTGTGCATACACCCGAGGCGGGTGGCCACCTTTGCAAAAGCTTTATCCTGTACCAGCCGAGGTGATAGAGGATGATATCGCATGCATATGATAATCGCGAGAATCAAGAGCCATTCCTTTCTCTTTCCTGTCTTTTATTTTTTTATCTTCATTCTCTGCTGCCTCCCAATGGTGTATTGTAAAGCTGCGAAGCGATCATTAATAGCTCCTAGTACAACGCTAGAGACAAAGTGTAACAAATTCCTGCTAAAAAAAGCTCGGCTCGCCATAGATGTCAGGGTAATTTACACGTCGCTCGCTCGACGACGATCTCGAATCTGCATCGCACACGCTTCTGCACTTATATATTTACGTGCACATTCTCGATCGTACACGGAAAAGATTCCACCTGCGATTCGGCGCTAGCTGTACGCCAGTATTTACGTTGGCGCAATAAAATTGCGTTTATCGACTCGCCTATAATATAATACGCGCACAAGCTCGTTTTCCACTCGATTAAATGGCAATTTTAATTGCTTTTTCGAATTTTCATCTCGGGCGCGCGCGAGGCTCTCCGCACGGTGGACCCGGTCGCGTTAGCGCCCGCGTCGCGCGACGTCTTTTGCAACGAGAGTACATTATAACGCTAGAGTACGTAGACACACACACACACACACATATATATATAGGAGTGCGCGTAATGGCAATAATTAGCCGTCTCTCCATTAAAAACGACGATGAATAACGGCCACCGTATTTATATACTTACGTTTTGTGTGTGTGACGAAAAGAAAGAAAAAAAAGGATTAAGCCGCGTATATACGTACTTCTGAAGAGTCGGCCGCGCTAGTATGAGCGCGAAACTTCAATACACATACCTAACGTGTACATTGCTATGCTGTGTGTGTGCGTGTGTCTACTGCTCCGCTGTGCTCGCAGTGCGCGCGAGCTTAATGTCTTTACCGTATGTACGTAAGAAATGAAAATAAAAAAAAAAATTAATTACTTGCGTCATTATGGAGATAATAATCGTCGCTCATTCCATTCTCTCTCTCTCTCACTCTCGTGGCTGGAGTTTTTGCATGTGTGCTGCTGCCGCTGCGGTACACGTATTTAGTTGGCTCATTTAAATGCACATTACGCGCGTATCTATATAGACGCGCGCGTTAGTTAGTTGGTTGCACTTGCGCGCGCTATATTATGCTCTCTCTCTCTCTGTCAGTAGGAGCTATTTTACACATCTGCACCGAGGAGACTTTTAATAACTCATCGATAGCTGCGATGGAACAATAGACATTTTCTTCATATTATTCAGCTCCGATGTAGCTGCTCTTCTTCCTTAGCGCACGCGATAAATCGATCCACGCCGCGCTCGCAGCTGCCAATTGCTTCTGCGTACGGCACATTGTAATATTATAATCTCTATATTGCGTACGAAGAATTAGAAATATTACAAAAAAAAGGCAAGGTCCTGTCTGTGCGTTCTATCGTTGACACACATCGTTATCAACGCGGTAATATACGAATGTATAAATTGTGCTCGAGCTGTGCAGATGTGCAGCGCGCGGCAATAGGCTAATTACGCTCGGCGTATTGTACATTACACACACACACAGACACAGACACACATAAGTCTCGCGAGTCTTTCGTAATTTACTCGCGAGAGACTCGCTTATATGTATTATATACGAGCCGGCGCGCGATTCTTTTAACGAAGATGATGCTATTTTCTCGAGAAATCAAGGGTAGTTATCGCGTGCGCAGTAGCGGCGCTGGATATATATACGATTGTGCATATTATGTGTGTCGTGAGGCCATTCCTGCTGCCTATTTGTATTATATATCGCCGAGGATGATGCATTGGATTCCGCGAAATTTCGTTAAAAGGCTCGGCTAGACTGTAGCCTAATTAAAATAACGAGCGCGAATCAGGAGAAAAATAACGTATGCTAGGGGTTCGTTTGCTCGCTACATAGCTGTTGCACGTTTAGTTGTTGTAACAATTTTATATACTTGGGATACACGATGACGATTTATCGTTAAAACGCGCATTATAGACTAAATGCAAGTATAGTTGAAAAAGAAAATAAATAATAGTCCGAGTTTCGTACGCAATGTGAGCGATAACACTTTTATGGGCTCATCCTCGTTTATTAATTATCGGCCATAGCGAGCTAGAGAGATGAATTTTTTGCTCACTCGACGCGCGCGGAATGATTTATATAGGCCGCGCGCGTAATCGCGTCTGCGCCCGGCAAAAAAAGAAGTCCGCGCGCAATTTACTCGTAACGCTCGATCGGCGATTTATAATTAATAATATTTAATACCCGAGCTGCTGCGGCGCGCGCGGATCGTTAGAAAACGTTATTATTTTAGCATAAAAGTATACGCGCGCGCGCGACGAGTTTTAAATTATTTACTTCGCTCATAGCCGCGGATGCGTAAGGTTAAGTGTTTTTTTTTCTCTCATACCAACTTCTTCTATTTACGGAACGAATCGCGCGTGATTTCTTCTCTTAATTAAATAGTAAAAATGTAATTGGAAACGGACAGCGACAGTTATAACGCACCGCGGCGGAATGAATCGAGGCTCATCGCTCGTCGTATTACACATACAATAAAGTGTGTCGTTATAAAAGTGCTAAATACCAATACGTCGCGAGCGAGAGTCCGCCTGACGCTGTCGCTCGCGCCTATCGGTTAACCAGCTATTTACGCGGCTGACGTTTTCCTGTGTGTGCTGCGCGCCTCTTTAGCCTATACTATATATATACAGTGTGCACTGCTGTGTGGCTGCAGCGCAGGTATGCAGTATACGCGCGTCGCAAGCGAAGTATTGTCTTAGCTTCGCTCTCGCATTCATAAACGCGCGAGAATCTCGCGCGTTCCAGCGTATACGCGTGTGGTTATAATATGCATGCATTAATTATCCGCAAACACCCGTAGGATTTATCCGTTTTTCTCATCGTTGGAAAAACAATTTTTTTCTTCTCTCTCTCTCTTTACCTCGCTCGGTAATACAACAACGATTCTTGCGTACGTGTGTCTTTTTATGAACACGCGAAGGGCATCGTCGTCTTCATCTCGGCTCTCCTGTGCTTTTTTTTTCTTCTACTTCTTCTTACACACGTGCACGACTCGATGCGTAGTGGTACGCATACACACAACGTGAAAACGGGGCTTATCCGTGTGACGATAAATAATAATTATCGCCTCTGTACACATTGTATTATATATGTAATAAGCCGCGCGCGAGTATAACACAAAGGCGTATATGACAACGACGTCCTACTTTTCTATTATATTACTGCTGCTGCTGCTGCGCAGGTGTGTGTCTGCAAATTATAATATGCGTACGCAGCGTACAGTGGAAGATGATTCCTCGAGATTGGATCATTTTTTTTTTCTACTTTTTATTCTCATCTCGATGCAGCATCTCAGGTGGTATTGATAATTACACACGTAGTAGTAGTGGATCTGTGGTGTACAACGACGACGACGATATCGCGTCATTATCATCAGGTGCGTGGAGAGATACACGTGTCTGATGCCATTGAATGACTTTTCGATTGCGAGAGAGCCGTATTATGGGCATGAATGAACGAGAGAGAGAGAGCCGCGAGATCCTTTATTTATCGCGTGTGCGAGTACTTTTTTTTTTTCATCGCCTCGACGACGCGAGATTGATGGGTTTTTAACCTAGATTCGACCGCCAGACGTCGAAAAATGTAAAAAGAAAGAGAATCGGTTGGAGGTAAATCGTACCGTTTTTTTCTTGGCTGCCGTTGGATGATAATAAGATCGACCTCGGACTCTCATTGTGATATTAATTTGAAATGTCTCAAAGTCAAGAAGTGACATTCACACCCGCGAATGCATCAAACTTAAACGCGCGCGACGAAAGAGCGCGTCTTACTGAAGAAACAGGTTTCTCTTTCCTCCTCCGTCGAGACGAGCCGCTATCATTAGTCATTCTTATGATATACGAAAAATTTGTTACGCTCGACGATGTGTGCGTAGCAGCAGCAGCACACAATATAAATAAATACGAGCTTTGATGCACAATAAATATATGCGCTGATAATAATTGGTCGTCGTTTTGCAGATAATCCATCGGGACATGGCGGCGCGCAACGTGCTGGTGGACCACAACAAGCTGTGCAAGATCGCCGACTTCGGCATGTCGAGATTCGCCGACGAGAACGGCGAGGTGATCGAGACGCGCCACGGCCAGCGCAACGCCCTGCCCATCAGATGGATGGCACCCGAGTCGCTCGTCTATTCTCTGTTCACGACCAAGACCGATGTCTGGAGCTTCGGCATCTTGATGTGGGAGATCGTGACGCTCGGTAAGTCGTATACTCGCGATCGCTGTACACGCAAAGTTTCCTTTTTCTTATATACGATTGAGTTATTTTCCCGAGAGAGCTAGCTCGCGCTTGCGAATCGTGTGTATAGCATTATGAATAATGCAACGAGACCACCACCGCCAAGGGTAAATTGAATTTTTGATCTCCTTTTATAGTCGAGCCTGACGGTTTACTCGGTGCGCGCACGTGGCTTCCAGTGCGTGTTGCACTTTTTTTTTATTTAAACTCATTTTTAACGGTGCGTCTTGTACGTTATACATTGTCCGCAAGGCGAGATAGACGAGAAATATATCCTAATGAGATTCGGATGTTAAATCATCGATCAACGAGTCGATGGACTTGTTCGAGACATTTTTCCTGCTGTTTTTTTTTTCGTTATTGCTATTTGTACTTTTGCTCTTCTTCTATTGCCTCGATGATGAGCCGCACACGACAGTCAAGATTGATTAGCCACGTGATACACATTTGCGCGCGCGCGTACGCGGGGCTAGCGATATTTTCTACGAAAAAAACTCTAAGGGCAAACGTTTCATCAATCACGAAAGCTATACAGTCATAAAATAATCATAAATAAATAAAAGCAGCTCGAGTTTCTAACGACGTGGTTGATTTATTCTTTTGTTTGTTCCACACAGGCTCGACGCCGTATCCAGACATGACGGCCAGGGAGGTGATGCGCAGCGTCCAGAGCGGCTACAGGCTCGAGCGGCCCTCGCACTGTCGCAGCGAGCTGTTCCGAGTGATATCGCGCTGCTGGCACCAGGACCCCGATCGCAGGCCCGAGTTCGCCTCGCTGAGGCGCGAGCTAGCCCAGCTGCTCGAGGACGGCATGAACGGCCACTACGTCGATCTCGAGAGCTTCGCCTCCGAGTGCACGGATTAGGATGGACGACGAAGAAGAAAAAAAATAACAGACACACATGAAGAATCGTGTGAAACGTTCTTCGTTGTTTTATTTTTTTCTCTCTCTCTCTCTCTCACGCACACTCTCTCTTTCTGTTCTCTTTTGTCAGCGGCCTGTGGCAGAGTGTACTTCATTTTTGTATTTTTCTTCGATGTTTACAAAGCTTTAAGTCGTAGTGCCGTAAGAAATATATATTTAGTAAGATGCGTCGTGCGTTATTGTATTTGTCTGTGTGTATGAATTAGTCGGTGTGCTTTGTATTAGTGAAAATTGTATTCTCGAAAAGAAATTTTTGAACGAGTGAAAAAAATGGAGCTTGGAATATTTCACGCTTTCGGTGCAAATCTCAACAAAAAAAATCCAAAGAAAGGCATTATTATTGGGGAATAAAAGTAAGATGGTCATGAGTGTGTATTTTTATGTAAAATTGTCTGTGTGCCCGTGCGATTGTGTAATTTCATTTTTAAAAGCTTTCTTTGACTGTGCAGTCGTATTGCGAAACGAGCTTGTCAAGTATTTTTTTTCTATAATATTAAGCTAAGTGCTAATCGCGTCTAGAAAGTATACATGTATTGTTTAACAATGAATCGACATCAGTGATGTTCGCGCCATTTTTCTAAGCTCATCATACTGACCCCTACTTAATCTTATTTTATGTATTTTTATCTTATTCGTATGTATTTTACATAAAAAAATATGTATTTGGCCGGCTAAGGTGCAACACTTTAGGAAAACCGTATATCAAAGTAGTACTTAAGTAATTGTCGATGAGCCAAGTCTCATTTTTTCGGTTTGACAGTTTTAATTAATTAATCCGTATTATGTATTTGTAAAGTCATAACACGTGCTCTTCTCGCTATGAGTAGTAGAAAAAAATTTTTTAATTAAGGAATTTTGTACATACCTCATGAAATCAAATATGTATCAGTTATTTAATGTAGGGTAATTAATAGCTATATTACTTATATTGCGCAGAGTTGTTGAATCCAAGTCACAGATATGAATGGCGAAAAATTTGATGACGCGAATCAACTTAACAATGTCTTATTTTTAATGAATCTAGTCTTTCGACATACTTAGAGTAAAGATCAAGTCGCTAATAATTTCGTTTTCTCGTCTATAATATTATTTGTACACAAGTGCGATATACTTTGTAATAATGGCGTTGTTATTGATTATTTTGATCTTGACTCGATTTTTGTCTGTTGATATTTTACGTAGCTTACATACTGTATGTTTATTTTTCGAATATCAAAATTTATATTCTAACGATAATGACTGCTCTCATGTCAATCTTTCATTTCCGTCCAGTAGAAAAAAATTGTGATCCACGTACAAAAATCAACAAATTATAATTCCATATTATTGTAATGTAAATAATGATATAATTTATACATAAAAAAGAAAACGATGTAATAAAAAAATCAACTTTGTAAGTAAACGTTATCATATATTTTTAAAATGGAACTTCTTTATTGACTCCCATCATTTTTCATAATCTGTTCATCGAATGTAAATTACTGTACAATTAATTGCAAATAATTAGACCAATGAATGTAAGTAAATAACTCGTGATTTTTCGCACGAGTAATGTTCCTACGTGAGTAAGCGTGCAGCTTGTTATTTTTGACAATTTCTCAAATTTTAGATGTTATAGTTAACTCATTAGCTGTAGATGTCGCTTAGCCAACCCCCCAAGCAGTCAAATCAACTTTGATAGTTATAGAGTTACGGGTTCTATTTCAATATACACCGATATACACGTTGTCGTTTATAATTCATTTTATTTTTTTTCTCTCTATTACACCTTCTTCTTGAAAAGGGCCTGCTGGGGGCTAGAGCCCGTACGCAAGAAGAGATTACTACTATACCCCCCTCCCTACTGTGTCGCATTTGCCCAGACCCAAGGACCTGTGGGGCAAGGAAAACCTGGGGGTATACGTAGTGCATATGCACTATGCCCTGAACTTCCCGTTCAAAGCTTAAAAAAAGAAAACTACGTAATAGAAAATCAATATTGTAAGTTAAGGTTATATATTTTTAAAATGGAATTTCATTATTGACTCTGGTCATTTCTCATAATCTGTCGATCGAATTTCAGTTACTCTATAATAATTCGAAAATAAATTGACCAAAGAATGTAATTTAAATTCTTATATAATCTACCTTATTACATTAACTAGGCCACGTTTAGTCGTAAATGAAAGAATAAAACAATTTTTCATTTTTTAACTTTCTATAATTCTAAAGGATAATCTCTCAATCGGCGATTGATACACTAATTATTTCACGTACAGTACACATAACTGTTCTCTACTTTGTAGTTAAGAAAGGTTTTCAATGCCGATATTGAATTCCTTCGATCAATTTTTTTTTCATTCAATTGATCAAAAAGCACATTGCGATATATTCAGGTGTCATTTTCACGATGTGCAATATAAATTAAAATATTTTCAATCAATCGCAGCCCATTGGAGACACACGAAGTACCGTTACAAGAATGTATCAACAGATGAAATCTTCGCGATTTCTGCAGCGAAATCAGGACGAAATTTCAACACCCGATCGAGTGATCGTAATTTTCATTTTAATTTCCAACGCACGAAGAAAATGAGAAAAAAATCATCGAATCCACGGTATCTCTCTTCAGCGGCATTTAAAACCATGCGTTACTTACAAATCGACTTGGCCAGCCTACTTTCGCACTTCTTTTTTTTTCATTTATCACAGGGGCTGCTGCTGCTGCTCTTTTGAAATCGGAAAACATCTCTCGCTTTAACGATTCAATTCCGCGCGAGGCCGACACTCGCACGCAAATCGTTAACGCAAATTGGCTCGCGCATTCCGGAAATTCAGGGAGTCGAGCAGCCGCCGCGAGCCGAAAGGGATGACGTTAGTTGACTGCATGTATACCGTACTTACGAGCTGCAGCACGTCAGGCTGCCAAGTAAGTTGGGTTTAATGATACAGGCGCGCGACTAAATAGTCTCGCGAGTCCGAGAGATCGACGTGATTCATCCGAAGCATTTACGGGAGAGCAGAGCACACAAACTCATTTTTTCCCGGCCTTTTTTGCGCTCACTTTTTTTTCTCTCTCTCTCTTTCAAAACTATTTTCAGTACATTGTTAACAGAGAAAGAGACTTTCTTTGCAAAATTCATTCGAAACGTCGAGCTTCTCTCTCTCTCTCTCTCTGGAGGGTACGCATATACGGCAACACAAAGTTATTGACCATATAAACGCGTCGGAAAAGGCGCGACTTTCCCAACTACTCGCTGCTGCCGCAACAACAACGCAATATCATCAATCAGTCGTGCGATACGTACCCGCTATACGTTTGTTATATTGCGCTCGCGGAAAAATGCGCGCATCGAGAGACGTCGACGTTCTACGAGCAGTGGACCACTCTGAATTCTTCGAAACTGAAAGTGAACGCGACTCGCGGCGCATCGCGCGACTTTTTTTTTTTTTTTGTTCTTTCGCTCATATACACTCGCGCGCGTCTATCGGTCGAGGGCTTCGACCGAGCGAAATGGGGAAAATCGGTACGGTGTATCGGTAAATCAGCTTGCACAAAAGCTTCGGCGCAATTTTCCCGCCGCTTCTTTCGTGTGTATGTACATCTCGCCGAGAGAGTCTAAAATTGTCGACATAAATCGCGACGGAGGCAAATTAAAATGGAAATTCGGTCCACGAAGTGTATCCGTAATTTTTTTTCTCTCTCTCTCTCTCTCTAGACTCTTGCTTTCTTAGTAATCTGGCCGAGAATCAACGCCGAGTAGCGAGATTCACTTTCGATCGAATTACAACAACGGAGCGTCGTTATTAAACCAGACCGGAGCAAAGATTATTAAAATTATGATCCCCCGCGCGCGCGAGAGAGGAAAAGTTCATATTATACACGCGATATGCGCCAACGGTGCTGTATATAGCGCGACCTTCTGATTTTCAGATTCGTATAATTGTGTTTTCATTTCGCAAACAATGCGAGGTTTCCATCGTCCAATTGATTTCGTTTTAAACTACGGGCAATTAGACGTGGATTGATTATAATGATTTCTCTGCTTAGAAACGATGACTATCGTATTATTCTTTCATCGATTACGAGCGAGCCTCGCACAGATATTATATGTATAATACATTGTATGTATACACGGGATCGGTATATACGCGAAAGGAAGAGGAGGACGAGAAAAAAATCGTGAAAAATTCGAGCCACGAGTGAAATTGTCCGCGCAGCATAGAAAGTTTTCTGAGACGCGCGAGCGTCTGTCGTCGTCGTCGTCCGATCATGCACATATTAAATTCATCGATGACAATAATGCCGATGGAAGCTGCCTGCGAGCAATTATCTAACGGACACGAACGATTCGCGCCGCGCGCGCATGTAAGTGCCCGTCGATCGTTCGTCGCCGCTTTTATCATCAATTTTCTCCTTTCGTCGTTGAATATAAACGTTGAATATCATAAGTTAGCGGAGAGATAGCAGGGATGATGTCAAGGATTTTAGGAAATAATTAACGCGATGCCTCGAAAAATTTAGAAAATTCCGGAACTGTTTCGGAAATGGTGTCAATGACTAATAAAATATTATAGATAAATACTTAGCAATGCCTAACCCACATTAGGCAATTCATGAACTAATATATCGCGAAGATTGCTATTTTCCTGTAACATATTTCTATAAGTTTCTTTTGAGACATCGGTCGACCTTGTCTTTATCGACATAAACACTGATTAGTACCCATGTTATCGCTAGATGGCGCATGCCAATATTTTCGAAACTCGCAAGAGGAACAGCAAACTGCTTGAAACATATAAGAGTGGATAAATTGATAATCAATTATCCTAATTAAATTTAGTTTGTACTTTACTAAACGAGGCTGAAAGTGAGCAAGCTATTTTCCTTTTGACATAAAATATTTAAGTCATTGTGGCTGATACATAAGCGATTCTGAAATTGTCCAAAATTTCCCAAGTATCGCGGTAATCCACCAAAATCTTAGATACTCCCGCTTTTGCCTAAATGCAGCTTTTACCAGTAGCATATATTTATACGCATGTATCATGCAGTAATTCGAAAGTAATATGTATACTTCGGAAAAGTTCAGAGTGATCTTTGAAAAATACGCGAAACTTTTCACTTCTCCTCCCGCTGTATTATCGAAAATACACGATAAAAAGCTCTCTTTGCCAGGATAAAATCGCACGAATTCCGAGACGCGCTTTTTGCGGGTCGAAGCTAAAAATAGCCTGCCGCTCGGTAGCCGCGATGCTAATTATCATCGGGTGCGTACGTACGTACTCGCACACAAGCCAATAAAAACTAATAATTTCGCGAGCGAACGCCAAAATAATTGGTCGTTGGTGCATTCGCATGGACCTCTGCAGCTTATATATATCGATAGTCGCGCCGGCGTCCGTGAAAGTACATATGATATACTTACAGTCTGGCGGTGCACCGCCGGCAATAACGATGGAGATCGATGAGCGAAAATTGGGTAAAGGATATAATTTTTTCATTGCCTCCTCCTGCGGGCCACGGCGCAGCCGCGACGAATCGTAACGAGTTCATTATTGCGCGATCGGCCATTCGAACCCACCACGTAACATCTACGATATCTGATACTAATCAGGGCGTTGGTGATGTTATTGTCGTCGCGGTCGTTTCTCTGTTTACATATAGAAACGACAAGCGCGTGGACGTGTCGCACGCGTCCGTCTCGACGCGATACGATCGTCTTTCGGTGAGAGTAGTATATATACGCCGGCCGTGATTGGAATCTAAAAAATTCATCATCTCTCTCTCTCATCGCAACGTAATGTAATGTAATGATAAAATACCGCGAAAAAAAAATCGATGCGACTGTTTAATAGGATACATTATCCGCGCTTTATAGCTCGCGATTTTCGACGATCGCGACGCGGCATAGAAATGTGCAATCAAGCATATCGTAAAGACCGTCTGCGAGCCATCGGTCGCGGACGAAGAAGAGGATTTCGTTGTCGTCGTCGTCGTAAAACGCATACGCAGACGTACTTATTACTCGCGCGCGTATCATTATACTTTCGAATTCTCTAATAATGATCGCCGAGGATAGGACATCTTTCTTTTCTCCCTGACGCGCGCGTATCAGACGTATATATGTATATGAATGTCGGATTTGCGAGGCTCGCGGGACCATTACACAGCAGCCGCATCGCGTCTTCGCTAAATATGCTAATAATTGTCAAAGAGCGACTCGACTCGGGCTAATTTGAATAGACTTAACGAATTTAACTTTCTTTAATCTAAGCTCTCGTAGCATATATATACGGCAGCAGAGACAATGCGCGCGCGACTTTCGCGTTGAGCGGAGATCGTGCGGCGACGCCCACGCGGAAGCTCGTGAGCCCTCTTATTTTTATGTACATAATATAGTCCACTGAAATCTTACATTGCATTTACACGAAAGTGGATAACATTTAGTTTTCTTGTGTTTTCGATCCTGCAGGTTAGGGCGCAAGTCCATAATGGAAAAGGCCATTTCGATTTTAAAACTCTTCGAAACAATTTTTAAGAACGTACTCAAGAAATCATATGCGTGAAGCTTGTTATTTTTCACAATCTCTCGAACATTTTTTAGTTAGATCATTGACGATAGATGTCACATTATGGGTACCCCCAAGCAGTCAAATCGTCTTCAGTAGATAATATACCGTTTGGGGAGAACTTTTACTTAGCTATGGATGGTGTTTATTCGTTTTTCAGCCACCCCTAACAAGAAAAGTTCATAAAAGCAAAATTCATAAAATTTTTTTCATAAATGAAAAATTAATAAAGCATTTTTTTTTATAATTTCATATTATACCCTCCAAGTATTTTCTAATATCCAATCTGTTCCTTTTATAATACGAAAAACCTGACACATGGAACGTGTAACTTTTACCGTGATTTTATTAATTCCATCAACATAAATTTTTCTACGAAACCGTTTTTATGAAAAACGTCCCCCACCACCTCAAACATCATACACATGAAGTTCTGGGTTCTTGTAGGGATCTATAGAGATGCAAACATCTCTTGTATATCGATAATTCTAATTAAAATTCAATAACGATGTCGAATCTGTACCCTTTTGCAGTAGGTCGATTTATCGGGTGGGCGAGAAAATCTTTTCGGCGCAAGAGATATACAAGTCCTTTGAACTGTGCCTCGTTTAAGAAGCAGTTGCATCGTGTGTGTGTACGTATACGTGTTCGCGCAGCTGATCGACGAAATTCAAGGACTAATGCGGCGCGCAACATTATACGAAGGGGGGAAAGCGAAGGTATACATTATATATACGCGACTATGCTCAAATGTACCTTGACTTTGAAAGCGAGCCTGTCTCGTAGTCGTGTCCTTTATTACACGACGACGCCACACGCTTGTGCACTAATAGCGTCACGTGTGCATTTTTGTTTCCTCGCGCTTTCACACAGACACAAGGCAGCAGCACGTGTGTCCCGATCGCGAAAAATCCCGATCCTGTCACCTCGAAACTCGCGCGCGCGTGTATATAAACGAGAAGAGCTGTTAACCTTTCGGTGGCTGTGGAACGCGCTCGAGGAATTTGCGCCTTATCGGTGCCTCCGCGCGCGATATGTGTAATACGCGGATGCAAAGGAAGAAAGGAAGGAAGGATATGTACACACACACACGTTACTTTTCACACATGTACATCGAGTGCTCGGTCGACTTGCGTTTATTGCCCATATCTCGAGACACACGTATGGTACGTATGGTATATATATTATCTCCCACCAGCAGCAGCTCGCGGGTTGCTTTTCGCGTCGTGCGCGCGACCGTATAAAGAAGTTTCTTTCACCTGCGCGCCACACGACGGTAGCCGCGTATAGTAGCGGCAACGCATTCATATATACCTCGCGCTGATTTCTCGGTCAGCACATTGCCTCGCTCCGCTCGTAATCATCATCAACATCGACGTACATATACACACACACGTACTCTTACTTGTATATTATAAGCTAGCGAGAGATAGAGAGGAAGGAGCGAACCCCCCGCCCCACGTTCGTACGAGATCGTTACGAAGTGGAAGTAAGCGCTCACATCCTCTACATCCGATCTCTGCTCGGGGAGCTGAAAAGATAAAAAAAAAATAAACAGATCAAACGAGCCAGGAAAAAAGGACCGTGTGGCGGCCCGTTCCCGCTGCTGCGAGCTCCCGAAGTGCGATCGTCCGTGCGCGCGTTCGGAGCGGCGGCGCAGGAGCACAGCGCGTGGCGGCGATTTTGACCTACAAAAACTCCTGGCGCGCGCTGAGCTCGCACAGCGATCGCGAGCGTCGCAGCGCACAAACCGCAGCAGCAGCAGCAGCAGCAGAGCAGCAGCATGTATACACGAGCCGCTGCTAGTCGACGTCTTATATGAGCATCGCAGCTCGTAGGGTACGCATCGAGCGTATCGGGATAAGACAGCGACTCGGTTTAGTTCAGCTGTATACTCGACGCAAATGAACGTGCAGTAGTAGTAGTAGCGGATAGCAGCAACGAGTGTCTAGTGTCATGTGAATCTTTAATACTTTTATCGCTTACTTTAGCTTTTTTTTTTAATTTTTTTTTTTTTTTTGGATTTCGTTGCGTCGTTTGTTTGGATCAGTGTTTTTCGCGTTATAAAGTTAGTGCTCGAGAGCGCAGCTTTTAGACCTTTTTTTTGTAAATCAATGGTGCATCGGCGGAGAGGATATAATTGATACATCGAAGCTTTATCCATCCAGCCAGTGTTATATACGAGAAGATTCGACGACCGCCAGCTTTTTTTTGCATCACTGGGCGGTGCGAGTCCGCGGGGTGTAAGAAGACGACGGTTTCATTCGAAAAAAGAAGGAAAAGCTCAAGAAAAATTCAGTCATGAGACGACTGGCTGCCACCGGCCTCTTGTCGCTGGTTAGTATGATATTGCAATATAATGATCTATACACTCGCTTCCTTCCTCGCTCTATCTGTATTTATAATAATACCGCGGAGCGCATTTAATTTACGCGGGGCCCGCTTCGTCGCGCAACTGTCTCCCCGACGTGCGCGCGTGTGTAACCCCGTTGTCGAGCGATTTTCTCCGCGCGTACATCGTATCGTATATATATTGTATATCGTGTACGGACGTGTATCTATCTCGTAAACGTATAATAATAAATTTTTGCAGCACATCGTGTGCGTACGTGTGTCTGTGTGCGCGCGTTCATTACCGGCTTCTATGCATTGAAGTAGCTCGTCCCGTCCGCGCCGTGTGCATATAGAGAGAAATCAGCCATTGGTAATAATAAAACTTTAGTGGGTCAACTTAATATCTCGAGCAGCGTGTGTGTGTGTGTATGTGTGTATGCCGAGTAGTCTATGCTGTTTCCTTATGATATTCTCCGTCTTCCGTCTGCGAGCGTCTACACACACACACACACACACACACATGGATAATAAACGACGACGCGTGTGCGTCAGCGTAAGGATATAAGGAAACATTTGTCGCGCTCGCGCAATTTTCATACTGCCTCTATGTATGGAGTCTATATGCTGAAAAGCTCACGTATACATACTCGAGTATAGACATTTGTTCATCCGTATCATCTCGTTCTTCTACTTTCTCTCTTCTCTCTCTCTCTCTATGTGTACACACGTTTCCCTCCTCGTTTATCTATATCCTTACGCCGCCGCCGCAGCCGCACGAGTGTAATTATCATAACGGTAGCATCGAGCGCGAGCTCCGATTTTTTTTTCCTTTCATCGATTTCGCGTGAACACGCGCGCGCGCGATACCGATTTTTATTTCTTCTTTCTCATCGTCATCATTACTTACTAAATTCTCATGTGTCATCGGTTTCACGCCCGCAACAACAACAACAACACAGGTGCTGCTCGTCGTTGTACACCGCCACGCTGTCGACGCGATCGAGATAAAGCACGACTACAAGTTCAAAAACAAGATATCGGCGCTGCTGCAGAGGGTGGACAGCAGCGCCAGTGGTAGCGGTAGCAGTGGTAGTGTTATTAGTGGTAATAGTTATAGTTCTACGACGCCGAGCACGACGACGACGACGACGACTTCACCGACGACATCGAGGCAGGACGCATCACTGGTAAGATACATTCATACACACACATTGTGAAAAGCTATAAATTATAAATGTAGTAAAATTTTTGCGAGCAGAACCTATTTTATCTTTTTACTTTTTTTGTTTCGCCATTTATACAGAAAATAATGAGGGAAAAAGTGTTTTCATTTTCACCCGTGCGCGCGCGTGGATGGCCGACGATTATATGACGAGGAGCGAGCGCGCGAGGCAATTTGCAAAGTCGGCTAATATACGATTCTTTTTACGTTTATCGCGCGCGTTTATGTATATGCAAAACCGGAGCAAGTGAAATCAGTCGTATAAAACAAAGATCCACTCACTTTTCTGAAGACGGCAGAAGCTCTATTACCCGCGCGAGAGCAGCAGATTCGCGCGCGCGCGCAGGGAAAAGGCAAAGTGCGTCGACGCGATTTTTCACTTATATTCGGCCAAATTAAAAAGCCATATAGTTTCCCCATAACAGGCACTTTTTAATTGACGACGCGCGCGCGCGAGTCGGTCAATTTTTTTTTTATTACCATAAACATTCGATGAAACGATTGAAATAAGGTATTTTACTTCTCCTTTTTTTTTCATCCTTTTAATTAGCTGGCACTTTTACTCGCGCGGAGGCGAGAGTGAGAGGGACCGACAGAGAGCGAGAGAAAGAGGGAAGATAATGATCGTACCCAGTCGAGATACGCAAAACGAAATTTTTTACGCGATTACGAATTAGAAATTCCAGATTTAATTCTTTTTTTTTTCTTTTATTTTAATTCTTTCGCGTTGAGGCACGCGCGTATTGGCCTGCCTGTTGCAAACGCGTACGTAAGGGAACCAACGAAACACACAGAACAGATTATCTCGAGTGAGAATTGACACCGGCTCGCGCGCGCGCGGATATTTTACAAAACTGGTAATAATTCAAATTTCAATTGCGCTCTCGTCGAGGCATGTAAAATATGTATCTAAACAATTGCGTAACACTCCGAGGCCTGTACAGTTTCGACATCCTAATTGTATGCGTTTAGCAGACAGCAAGGGGAAAAAATGCCAATATATGTGTATTATTTCCATGTCGAGCTCTCCGAGTTAATATACTGTCTCGGAGCACATTTTTCAATATATATATTCTTCTTCCACACGCGCACGTGTGCAAATATATTTTGCGCATCCCGAGGATGATACATCCCGCGTTTATTAACTGTGTTGCCGCTCTCGACCTTCGCCGCAGCCGCATATCTATACGACTACTTGAACAATCGATTATTATAATTAGCCTCATCATCGTCATGCTATTTACCCCCGTTTAACTCACTTACTATCCTCGAGTCAAACGATTCCCGAACAAAAATATCCTATACCGACCATTACGTGTACACACGTAGAAAACAATGTGCGCAACGGCAATTAGTCCCTTTTGTCAATTGTTTCGACTCTCTGCTCCGCAGGTCAACATCACCTCGGTCAGTCCAGTCACATCAGCAGCAGCAGCCGCAACGGCAGCAGCACTAATCAGTGGAAATTCCACGGAGGATGCCGAAAAACCGGAAGAGCTTCCAGAGGTCTGTGTGTGTGTGTGTGTTGTGACTAGTAGTGTATATAGCTCCAGTGTGCAGTATGTGCATCGCAATGAATTCCCACATACGCTATATAAAAAGCCACACGATAGTTATAACATCGCTACGGTGCTCGCGAGCCTCAGACTTTTTTCCTCTGCCTACTCGTCATTATTTAGCTCCTATAGCGCAGACAGAGAGAGAGAAAACTTTCGTTGGTTAATTTTTCGCGGTAACGCGAGCGCGAGGACTTTTTTGCGGCTCCCCCGTCCATGCGTGTGTGTATATATAATATACGCTCATCAATTCGCGGGTGAAACTATTTTATTTATTTTTTGTTTATGTACCCAACGTGTACGCGTGTAATGCGTGTGTACACACAATCGCTATATATAGTGGCGTTTATATACAACGAACTGTGAGAAATGCATCATCGCGTAATTCGCGCTCGGCCGCTGCCGCTGCTGCCACTGCGCCGTGATTTTTCCGCGAATCGCGGCGCTGAGAGGTCTTTTATAATACGGTTATACGATAAATAATAGGCTTACGAACGCGCGCGGCTGAAGAAATTTATGTACATTATTATATACATCTACGTAGCGAGCGAGTATGACTTTTTTTACATACGAGGTGTCGAGCTTATGCACGCGGCTAGTCATCCTCTATGTTTTTTTTTTGCATATTATTAAACGTACGATACACGTGTTCGCGATCGCATACAGGCTTAGGTAGGTCAGCATTATTTCTCTCGACTCTCTGTGATATATTCCAATGAGTGATCATCGTTTTATGATAATCCTTCGCTCGCTCTGAAAAGCCCAGTACGCTGAGGATATAGCCGCGGATGGTCCTCGTTTTTTTACGAAGCGTGGCGATCATCATACGGGGTGGCGATATAATGTAAACTGCACGTGAAATTCGTTCAATTATCGCGACAAAGTACGTAGGCAGCTAGTTTTATGCATTTTGTATTTTTTTTTACGACCAGCGAGAAAATATTTTCTCTCTCTTTTTCTCTCGCGTCGCGCGCGCGTACCCGCGATCGTAAACTCGCTCACTGTTTATGCTCGTAATTAAGTGTCAAAATACGTTTTATTAGGATGCTGTTGTCCGCGCGCGCGGCAGGAGCAGCATACGTATATTATACGACACACAACTTGTCGAAGAGCTCCAGAGAGAGAGAGAGGTTTCACTTTTTCTCGTTCTACTTTTTTCTTCATCTTTTTTTGTTGAACAAATTGAAAGAAAAAAAGAAAGAGAAATGATCGAAGAATGCGCGCAAAATCGATGTAATAATAATACAGCTGCGAGGCGCGCGCGCGATCGAATTCTGATTCAGAAAATTATTACCTCGATGATGTTTTAATCTTCTTCTTCTTTTTTTTGCCGCGCTCGTATATACATTATAATACGTTAAATTCATGCAGATTTTTATAAGCACCTGTGCGACGACGATTAATACATCACTCACGGTTGTCCGTCGCGCAATTTGATTTATGTCCGCGCGACCGATCGAGCTACTAAAATATAATCATCGGTGATTATTTATAGGTCTGGATGATGTTTCGCGCTGATTAAGAAGAGACAGAATCTTAATTATTATTATATCACGTACACACTCCCAATGATACATATATGATAATGATGCGTGTGCGTTGTGTGCGGCCCCGTGAGAAATCGGGCGCGAAACAAAACAAAAAAGAAAATAAGAGCAGAAACAAAAATTGAATGATAAAAGGAAGGAAAAAAAATGTTTTTCGCGCTCTCTCACGTGTATGTATGTGCACGTATACATATATAAGTATGTGTGTGTGTATGTATTATACTTACACCGAGCCCCGAGAAAAGTAAACCACTTTGAGAAAGTTCATTGTGCGCGGCGGATCCTGCGTGTAGCTTAATTAGACTGTACCGCCTTTTGCGAGTGAAGCGAGACACGGCGAGCGAGAGAGAGAGAGGAAGAAAAAGGTCCCAAAAATGCTCAATTAATATGGTAATTCGAGAATTGGTGCAGATCGCGAGCAGCGGCTAGGAAACGTATCCCAAAAGCTGACCCGATTCGCTCTGAAAATTCGTCGAAAAGATTTTCCTCGAAAAGGGTTCGTTATCGACGACTAGCCGCGCTCGCGCTATGATATAATCGGACGCGATGGATGAACTTTTTAAAGCTATTATTACATATTATACGTGTTCGCTTGCTCAACCGCCGTGTATATGAGCATCGCATCGATCATGAAACGGGGCTGATGATGGTTATGGCCCATCATCAAGTCACTTGACGTATCGTTATAATAACATAATGCTCCAAATTACCCGAAAAAGCATATATAAGATGAAAAAAAAAAGGAATCAAAGACGTCCCGCGCGCGGTAAACGAGATGCTCACACTTTCACGCGAAAATCTTCTTCGTAAAAAGCGCGCGCGCATCTCGAATTTTTATCTCTCGCGTATATAATATTCTTTGTGTAAATTATAATAATATTGTCGATCGACGCGAGATGCACCGGCTCCTTAATATACCTTACTCTTTTTTTTCTTCTTCTCCCTCTCTCTCTCTCTCGCGCTTATATATATCGCGTATTATATCGTCGCTCGCGCAACTCGTATACGCGCGCGAGTATTAAGAGTAAACTTTCTCGCGCTCGAGCTATATCAGGCGCGATGACCGACAATTAGCGCGTGGCGTTTGTTCGCGAAACGATTTTTTTTTCTTCTTCTTCTCTTCCTTTTCTTTTCCATTGCTTTTTAGGATGAAAAATGTATCGCGATAGATGGACATACAGCAGGTGAATTTTATCTCATTGTTTTTTTGGCATTTTTCACTCAGGCGCTGGAGCTGAGGTACACGAGGCCGGGACAAAAGTACCGAATACGAAGACCCGCGATCTCGCTGCCGACGAGGCGCGCCACGGAAAATCGACGGAGTCCTTATCAAGGTGAGTAGTTAGTTCATAAAGCGAAGTTTTACCGCGATATACAGATCTCGCGCCTCTCTTTCTTTTTGATATATACATAATGTATAATAGCTGAATAATGCGGAAGTGGTGCGTATTGCGCGATCTCCTCGCGACTTACTCAGTAGATTAACGTCCACTCGAGATCATCGTCGACATACACTGAAAATGATGTTACATGGTGCTTTATTTTGTTTGAACGAGGCATGTATACACAATATATATATAATGTATATACGTGCTCGAATCGTTACGAGCGGGGCTATTTAAAAATACCGAGATTAGCTTTAATGAAAGTTAAACAATCTTATTTAAATAGACTCTCGCCGCGATGTCACCTGTATTATACATTGTACACACACACACGCAAGCACATGCCTATAAAGCCTACTCGTGTAAACAGCTGTTTAAGCTCGTGTCAGCTCCAGACAGGTCCATGGGACTCGCTTACTACTACCACTACTTTGCGTACCGCGCGTCCGAGGCGAAAAAACACACGTAACTCGCAAATATTCAATTACCGTCAGCAGCGTGGAGATGTTTTAGTCTCTCTCTCGCGCGCGCGCGAATTTACATACACACGGCGCACGGCAGTTTGCAATCTTGCGGCTGTGGCGCTTCGGAACATAATTTTTTGTTATCGTCCCGTCTTCGTCTTCTTTTTCATTTTTTTTTTTTTTTTTTGCGGGAGAGTGTCATAACTCAATGTGTTTCTCCTATATACGCGCGCATTCAATCAATACGCAAATACGAAAATGCTCGACTCGAGTCTTCGGACTTTCTCACCGCGCGAATACGAGAGGCTGCTGCTGGCTGCACGCGTAAGAACGAGAAAAAGAATGAGAAGTTAAAGAAAAAAAAAAAGATTATGGGAATGTCGCGATGTTTCAGAAACTAATTTACATTCACCGCAATGGTAAACGAAGATACATAATACATGCCTTTTTCCGACACGTCTATGAGCGAAGAATAGGATGATTTTTCCTTTTTTGTTTTATTCCTCGTTGCTAGAGACACAGCTCAGGCGAAATATGAAGCAAAGCGCATCTGCTGCTTTCCCGCGCGCTCATACGTCTCGATTTCGCAATCGCGCGCAGTGCGTATAACACAGATATAATAATATAGTCCCGATGTGTTCGAGAGCAGACCGCACACTGCGACACGACGATCGTCTTCGTCGCGGCGCTTTCGATTTTGAAAGGTATATATACGCGCGACGCGAGCATCGATTCCGACTTGATAAAAGAAAAGTAAAGGTTGCAGCAGCAGCAACAGCTTTGATAAGAGTAAAAAAAAAAATTATGACGAAACTCGACGAGTACGGTCTCTCTCTCGAACAGTAAAATTAAATTTCTCTATCGGCCTTTCGCCAAACGCGTATACAGGTACATATAATACGAAAAGATGAGTCGCTCACCGCGAGCTTCGGGAGGATTATCGAGTAAATGGATATCGATTGGCCCCTCGCGCTTCATTGATATAAACATCATAACGCGTTGTACGCGCGCATAAGTATATGAAGAAACAAGACGAGAAGAAAAAAGTACAAAAAAAAAATAACCTGCTGCTGCACCTGAGAGCAGTTATATACGTATTAATATTTAAAAAATTATCCCGCGGTACAATTACGACGCGGCACGTCTTATTTTCACTTTTCACGTTATTTACATAATAAGAGAGGATGCATCTCGCCACCGCGGCCCCGCGAGACGACGCGTCTTGCGGTCAAAAATTATAATATTATATATACGCGCGCGAGGATTAATGAAAGATTGACTCAATATAATTTTCCTTCATCCTCGCTTGCTTCTTCATTTTTTTTTATTATATATGATGCCTTGACTGCTCTCTCGACTGATCGCACTTGTTTCTTGTTTCTTTTTTTTCTCTGAAGATAAGATTCGTCTGTCGTCCGGCAGGCCCGGAAGACGGCCCGGCGTCGTGCACGATCCGAAGAGAGCACCGACCGACAGCGAGTGCACTTTCTTTTCGAAAACCGTCTGCTTGGAGGCTGCTGATTATCCCATGTGAGTATACAAGCGCATACGTATAATGTACTTACACACACACACACACACACACACACACGTGCGACGAGTACACTGCTGCACACACATGTACGTACACGTACGTACACGACGTTTTATCTATCTACGCTAGAGCGTCGTCGTCGGGATTAGAAAACACGTTTGGCCGGAGGCAGTGTCGCGCGCGCATTGACATTTACCGCGAGAGCAAACGAGCCGAGCAATTTTTCTTCTTGCTCGTTTTTTTTTCTGTTCTGTTGCCTCGTATATAAAGTAGCTAAAAGACACAGTGTATACGCGGAGCAAAAAAAAAACCCGCGAGAAAAAAAAAGTTATTCTCGCGAGCGTTGCAGTCGGGAGAGCGTGGGGGATGAGTAGTAGTTATGGCTTTTCTCGCGCGAACTTGGTTTAATGACCTTGTTGCACGCGCTCGAACTCCTGCGCACTGCCATGCACACACACATACATATAATACAAAACGTTTTGTTCTGCAATTATATACTTACGCGCATCATACTTCACGTGCATATATGCGATATAATGAAAGGAGACGAGCAGTCGATCGAGAGGGAAATTTCGCGACGCGCGCGTCTTCGTGGAATATAATGGAATATAATATCCCGTTTAAATGCTAAGCAGGCTCGAAGTCTCTATGAGTATAACGATGATAAGATTGCATTATAGAACTGCGAACCCGTCGATTTCTCAATTTTATATATATTTTCTAGATATCTATTCCAATTTTCTCGAGCTCGGGACGCTCTCGTTAAAAACGTATTTCGCTCGCTCACACACATATCGCACAAGTAATAAAGATGTAAATTAGAAGAAAGCTCGCCACAATGTTTATGAATTCATATTTATTTCAAAAAAATACAGCGAGGCGATAATGCGAAGCATACGCAACAACAAGGACATGGTCTCGGCCCTGCTGACCGACTTCAAGATCAAGGACTACAACAACAATCTGCTGCGCGAGGACGACGAGGTCTTCTTGCCAACAGCGAGGCCCGGCCTGCTGGGCTCCTCCTCGTCGTCCTACAAGACGAGCTACGACCATCATCATCAGGGCAGGTACCATCGCGACAAGCCTAATCTGTCGCTGTCGCCGTACGACAATCGTTTCGAGAGCAACGAGATCAAGAGGTACGTTGTGAGGCACGATAAAAAATGAAAAATCAAGTAGCTCCGTTGCGTAGACACAACGAGCTCCCTGAGCCACGGCTTTCGAACGAGTAGGCCCGTCTGGCGGGTAATCGTCGTACAGGAGTCGCTCTGTCTCGATTCTCTCTCTCTTTGCCGCGCATACAATCGGCCGCGCGTGCAAATTGAAAGCACCCGCGCGATCGCGATGCCTATTTCATACACAGTGCACCGACTAATAAACATATATCTTGTCGGAAAAAGGCACTAAACATCTACACGCGCTCGCTTATTACGATATATTTATTATCGATCGCGACTTGACCTTGGAGCGCGTGTAACTATGACTATATACGAGCGCCGCGCGACTTCTACACCATAAAACGTTCCTATATTTATCGTACGCGTCCTATAATACATTATTCTTCCGTCGAGCGGTGCAACGATTATTATTATTCTCTTCTGTGTCTGCGCGGCTTACGAGTACTCGCGCGGTGGTATATATACGTAAGCGCGGAGCTCGTGCTCTACATTTCTCATTATTACACGCTGGGGCTGCAAATCGTATTTCCATGAAGGAATATATATACATCGACGCGGATGCATTTCGAAATCCGTACCTTGAGAAGGTACTTGCGCACTACTACTACTACTCCGTACTGCGTAGTACGGCATAATATATATAATACGCGTGTGCCAGGCATTGCCAAGTGCACGAGAGAGAAATAATTTCCAACGACGACATAATTGTCTCGAAACTGATTGTTTTTTCGTTGTCGTTGTTGTTGCAGAAAGTACGAGTCCTACAACGAGCCCTTGGACAACGTCGAGGAGGGCTTCACTTGTCCGTCGCAGGTGAAGTACGCCAAGCCGCAGCTGGCCAGGGCCGCGTCCGGCGTCTGGAAGTACATCATCAATACCGACGAGCACACCCAGACGCTCAGGCTTGAGAAATGCTCGTAAGCCCTTTTTCTTTTTTGCTCTTGCGAATATCTCGCCGAAAAGAATGTAAAAATTTAGCGAAAGTCCGAGATTTCACTAGCTAAATTTATGAAATCTATTTTTTTTTTTTTTACGAGTAATCGTTTTTGGTACGGACAGTTCTGTTAACTTCCATTGTCATTCAGTGGAATTCGTTTATAACGCTACAGCGAGCAAATTAAAAACTTTAGTTCATTCATTGTCTATGTTAAGAGTATGAGTGATTTTTGGGTTAATAGAGTTATTTATACTAACAAGACGGACATAACAGAATCTCGAATGCAACGAACATTTTTGACCAAAAATTTACCTTTTACGATCGTTAATTACGAGACTTGAGAAATCACGTGGTATCAAAGAGCGAAGAAAAGTAAATATGTATACACCGTGACAAGACCCTCTGAGCTGTCAGTTCACTTTGATCAATACGGACGAAAAGTACCGCGACTGACCGCTAGATGATTTGATTCCGTTTTTTATCAACCTCTACACAAAGTAACAAAGATAGAGGATTATATACAACAATTTTTATTCTAGCTACTAAGAATCGTTTATCCATTTTAATGTTTCTAATATTGTGAATGTGATTTGCCCTATTTTCGTATGTCAGACTTGCTCAAGATAGTCTGTAGGCACATCGTGTGCACATCTTTGCTCGACCACATCTCGATCCCAACTTGCACTCACCGTTGCATTGAGTTGCCTCTGCCGCTGCTCTCGAGCGCTTAACGACTAGATATTGTTAAATCGCCAACAAAAAAGGACTAATTCGGTACATCCGCTCTAGTCGGGGGTTCACCGCCGCCGCCGCCGCGTGTCACGTGGCCAACGAATGCGTAATCTATTTCGCGATGATTGATGGGCTCGCGTGCATTATGGGAATTTTTTGGGGCCGCGATTTTACGCAATAGCCGACGGAGCAGCAGCGGTGGCAACAGCAGCAGCAGCAGCAGCAGCCTCTCACGTAAGCCATCGTTACACAAAGGGCCGTTTTTGCGCTCATCGATCTTTCTCAAATTATATTATTCTCTCCCCCGTGCGGTGTTAGACCTCTCTCGCGCGCGTAATCGCACAATATCAAATCGATCGATTGTTGTTCTGTCTCTATATATTTCTCTCTCTCTCCAAAGACCTGTACTGCGCGGAGTCGGTCGGCGTCAAAAAAGAAGCGTAAATAATCGCGCAGCGTAGAATCGGAAGCAGCTCGCTCGTTCGCTCGCTCAGCTTGTAATGAATGTTTTAAAATGAAAGTGTTTTTCCAAAGAAAACGAGTTCTCTCGCTCGCTCGCTCGTTATAGATCTGCGCCATGCTGGCAGCTGCTGGCAGTTCTTTTATGCCCACGTACACATATAACATACAGACACACACACATACAGAAGGAGGAAAACTCGATTTTCAAACTCGTGCACTGAGCGTGGCTGCAATTTTCATGCGACGCACGCGTACTCGCTACGCATGTAAAGAGTTTTTGTCAATTTGTGTGGGTGCACATTTATATGTATGGCTGAAATATATACGTGTGCTGCATCGAAGATTGTCCTCGTGGTAAAAGTGATTATTTTATCATGTACAGATGCCCCGTCGGACGATCGATTATTTCACTCGAACGGATTTTTCAGCTATATAAGATATTTAGAAAAAAAATATGGATTTATACACATTTCCGTGATTCGCTACATATATACAAGCAAGTCGATACCGATCTCGCTCGAGTTCACGCTCGGTCGCATAAGTCATGATCCTTACGTACATCGGACAAGAAAATGAAAAGTTGACGCGCTCGCGCCGTACGCGTACTTTGATGTTATTATTAATAATATACATCTGCGTACTCGGATGAAAGTGCAGCTATCTTTATATGCCTCGTGCACGCGCGGATTTTATGTAAAATCCGATTATATATCCTGGCAAATTTTATTAATAACTCGCTTCTCTCTCTCTCTCTCTCTCTCTATCTATTTTTCTGCGCCTGCCGTCGACAGCGCCAATCAATAAAATGAGACTAGGCGCTCAATTCTCATCGAATCAATTAGACTTTTACTTTTCTATAATAGCGCGCGCGCGAGCTTCCCGCGCTTTAATCGTGACTAATCACTCGGCGTCTTGTATACAGTATATAATGCTGCAGAAGAATAATGGAAACATTTTGCAGAATACGCAGTAGCAGCTATATTGTATATACGCGGGATAGACAATTCATCGGAAAACTCATCGTCGCTTCCATTCACACGCACTGTATATACTACGGTCGGCCTATAAGAGACTTTTTCTTTCTCTTCGCGCGAGCTCGCACCAGCGGCATTGTGTGTTGCATTACGGCTTTCGCCGATGAATGCATTTTATTTTATATGCTCGATCGATCTCGCGCGCGGATAAGCTGCCGCGGATTCGTCGGGGGCTTTTTTTTTCCTCCGAGCTCCATCGTTTTCGGTTTTTATAAACGAACGACTATACGACGACGATTCGACTTGACGCGCGTATCGCAAAACTCACCTCGTCACGCGGATACTTCCCCGTATTATATTCCCGAAATTACGTAAAATATATTTTAGAAGTTATACAGAACGTTATGTTTGTATATAGGCAAGAGGCGCGTTTCATAATAATTGAAAATAAGTTTTGCATTCTTATATGTACCGGTGATCGTCAAGTGACTTTGTGTTTGAGCAATTATTTGACTTTTTTTTCTCTCGCTCGGACGCGAGCGTGAAATATGAGATTGCGTTCGCGACGCAAGCCGTGCATAGGATTAGTTTGACCGATGCAAAAGAGATTTATATATAGATCCGTACGTATTGAGTGGCACGTGTGTATCCTCGGTTCCGATGCTTGGGCAATATTCGTACTCGGATTTAGACTTTTTTTTTCAATATTAATCATAATAATAACGAGTGAATTACAATCTTGAGTCCAAGCAGCAGTCTTTGTGCATTTCGACGAATTCCTTGACGAAAAACTCTTTTTTTCTTCTTATGCGCGCGCGTGAGCTCAAACAGGCGCATCGATGTCCTGCAACGAGATACAATGTAGCCACATAGCTCCAAAGCGACAAAGAAAAGTATATAACCGAAGCGCACTCCAAGTTGGCCAGCTGACTTTACCGTAACGTTAATGTTTCGTTAAAATGAATGAAAAATAAATAAAAATAAATAAAAACGCGCTCCTTCGAGACTCGATAATCTCGCGGTCGAGTCCGCGGAGAAAGTCGCAACTACGAAAATCGGTATTAAAATCAAAGGCGAAAAAAAATTATCCCTGGATGTAGGATACATAATATAATGTAAAATAATATGTATAATGCCGAGGAGATTTCGTTTAACAACGTCGATGCTGCACACGAGGGGGGGGGGGGGAGAAAAATATTATTATATTATATATTATAGTTATTTACGTATATAAACACGATCGAGCACTGCAGCTCGAGTACGCGAGGATTAAATTCACTTATAGCTCCGTGCCCCGTTGCTTATATCCTTTTTAGCATCGTTGCATCGTCATCGCGAAAAAGCAGTACACATTGCAACGCACCTTATAATAGGCCTTTTTTTGCATACACTTCGCTCAATTCCGTAAGAGAAATTTTCTCCATCGCGATCGCTCCAAATCGCGCTTGCAGCCTAAAAAAAAACTCGTACCTCGTACATACATACATTTTGTGTATTACATGCAACGTAACGCTCGAGTATATCGATCTAATATACCTTCTGCTTCCATGTGCAATTAATCGTCGCGACGCAGCACGCCGCGCCAGAGCTGCTCGTTCATCTCGGAGAATTATCGCTCCACCTGCATGCAAGTCTACAACTATCATCGTCTGTTGACCTGGGACTCGAAGCTCGGCCTGCACATGGACATATTCAAGGTGCCGACCTGCTGCAGCTGCCACGTGCAGGGCTACACGGACATCTTTCCGCCTCATCAGACCGATCCGCCGCTCAAGCCGCACGAGTCTTTCCCCGGTGTGGATTTCGTCCAGAGCGATCATCATCCGTTCGGCAAAGGTACGATTGATTCGCGACTATATCGTGTTATAGAAGTTTTAACCGAAAATCGAAATGTGTGCGTGTACAGGAAGCAGCAGCAGTAGCACGAGATACCACGGCAGCAACAGCATCGACAACGCGGCGCTGAGCCTGTTCCGCGACCACTACATCAACTCGGATCCGGACGAGTTGCAGCTGCAGCACTCGAGCAGCGCCCGCAGGCCGAGCATCGCTAAACCCCCGAGAACGAGGAGACCATCTTCGTCCTCCTCCTCATCAGCGTCTTCTTCCTCGTCTTCGAAAATTCCGAGGCCGTTCGACAAGCTGCCGCAGCAGCACGCGCCGAACACGAGGGCGCCGGGCTACAAGGGCGGCCACAGGCCCTCGCACAGGCCCAATCGGCCCTTTCGGAGAGAGTCCGCGCTACCGGATACATCGGATTATACAGAGAACGGCGGCAATCTTACGCGCAACCGGTAAGAGTTTTTTTTATTTTTTTTTCTTCGAAATTTCGATCGACAAGTAGAGTATGAAAGACGTGACAGCTGCTGCTGCGTCGCGTCGCGGTCTAGCCGATTTTTCGGCGAAAGTGTAGCAGTAGTAATAATGAAATTGCGAATTATTTTTTTCTTTTGGAAAAATTGCACGCGCTAAACACTAAACTCTCGCTTTCTTTTTTCCGTTGCTGTTGCGAACGCAGATTTAGCCAATCCTTAGATCAGGACTCGCAGGAGCCGGGTCTGCGGCTGCAGAGCGGCTTCGACGAGGAGTACCAGGAGACCAATCGCCGAATCAATTACAATTACCATCCGATCCTGGACTTCTTCAAGCCCGAGGCGGCCATGCTCAAGTCCGAGGAACCGATCAGCACCGGCGGTAGCGGTGGTAGCGCATCGCAAACGACCGGCGGCCAAGTGCAGCTGGCGACCAACGAGCAGCAGAACTCTTGGCAGCCTTTGTTCAAGTCCTAGGCATTATTATTACCGATTATCATCATTATCATTATTATTATCGTATAACGCATCGATTTTAGCTCGAACGTACCTGAGATCGTTGATAAGAAACGAATTTATCCTTCTTTATTTTTGTACCCGTACCAGTTCGCGCGTGACTCTGTTATAAAAAAGAAATCGAAATTGAAAACGAAAGAAAAAAAATTTAGTCCATATCACGGTTGACATCAATTCTGAATTGGTGCAAGCATATCGGCATCGTTGGCCGTTGTTTTCGACGCCGAAATATGCTCGTAATTGCGTGCTATATACATATAATGTTATCGCTATACATCTGTAAGAAAGTTTATACGTATACACTTGGCTCGAATTTATTAATGTTTAATTATCCCCTTTCTGTGTATCATTCATTTGTATAAATGTTTTCTCTATACATAATATGCATTAGTTCGATTCGAAAATTTGCATACGTCGTTGTATTATATTATTTTTATATTGCCGCCTGCGCGCGGTTATAATATACTACTTGTAAAATCTATTTAGGTACACATTATGCTCTAGGTCTGTTATTAATAAAGTATAGTTTTTACATTTTCATTTGTAATAAAATGGTCGTTTTTACTCATTTCGCTGCACGCCCGTATATATTTTATTATCGCTCGTAATGACTCGGGAGAAATATATATATACAACGTTAAGTGGAACTCTCGTTTAGCATTAAATATCGGTGTGCCTCGAAAATCCACATTAAAATAAAAAGTAAAAGAAGATAAGGGGAAGAAAAAAAAGAAAGAAAATCGGCAGCCTGTGCACGACTTTGCATCGCTGAACTTTATGGCCTTGCAATTAACCCAATTCGCGCTTCGGTCCAATGTCAATTTTAAACAGCTCCGTGCTCGCGATATGAAATTTCTGCGCTCGCGGAAAGGAAACGAAGAGAGAGAAAGAAGAAATTACTACTCATTTGAGAAAGAGAGAAATGCGCGCCGCTAGTGGTCTGTGTTAATACGTGTATACAAAAAAAAAATCGAGCACTCGAGCTACCAAGAGATATCGGCGGCGCGCGGGCCGAAAAAAAAAGCTCTCCGACGCGAAAAACAATGGACACGTCTTTTCACGTCTTACGCGCGCGTCGATACTTCGTTCCGGTCCAATGCAAACGACGACGACGACGACGACGCTATGATGGTGGTGGTTGGTGTGCCTCAGAGGCGCGAAATCAGTCCTGCGTGACCGATAACGTATATCTCTCCCCGCCCCCGCACCACCACCTCTCGCGTGCCCATTTCTACTCGTGCACGAGAGAGAGAGAGATACTTTTCCGTCAGCCACCACTGCGTTCGTTGCTGCCTTTATTATTATTTTACGTTGTTTTTTTTTGCTTTATTGCCTGTCATCTCGCGGGCGGGGAGGGCCTGCTGCCGTTCTTCATTTTTATTTACTGGCGTTTTTGTGCACGCGAGCTTCTCGCGCGTTCCGTCCTACTCTTATCCTCGCGCCTAGAGCAGCGCGCTACGCTATATCGCAAATTTCATATAAATTGGGCTGAGGCTGGCTCGCGCTCAACAGTTCCGATCGATCGCTCCTAAACGAAAGTGTATTAACAGTGGTGCAAGTTGTTGTTTTTGTGCTCGAGTCGTATGACGAGGTGAAAATTTGCTCTCTTTAAATCTATCTATTTATCAAACATACGTTAGATATTTCAATCTGTGCGAAGAGCTATGGTGTTGACATCGAAGTCGTCCGAGTGCGTGTGATTATCTCGAAGTGATTTTTTAAAATCGATTACACCCGTGAAACTATCCAGAATGACGTTGAGAACATGAATCTTGTTAACTGCTCGATAATCGCCCTGCTGCTCTGTGCCGGCAATTGTTCATCGTCCGCGTCTACTCCGCCCTCGAATCGCTCCAGTCCGATCAGTTCGATCATCAAATCCTACGAGAATGCCGTACTCGGTGAGCCGTCGAGGACGACGCCGATCGTCGTTGCGTCGACGATCGGCACCACGAGTCAGCCACCATCGCCACCACCGAACAGCATCGACAGGCACAAGCACATCAGCGTCGAGCTGAGGGGCTCGCAGTCGAGCGACGTGCCCTACACCTACGAGGGGAGCAACTCCCGTGAGAGCAGCGGAAGCAACGAGGACGGCAGTGGAAGCAGCAGCAGCAGCAGCAGCTACGAGCCCGACTCCGGCCCGCCCAACCACGTGATCCCCTACACGGAGCACGAGAACCCGAGGGAGCCGGCGACCCGGCCGAATTACACGGCGCCCGGGGCCTGGGCCAGACCCGCGCCCGACAAAAATATCTCGCTGGACTTCGTGCCGAGCAAGCTGTACGCGCAGGTGCGCGGCACCTCGACGGTGCAGCGTCTGCCGCGCGAGGACGCCATCAAGAGCGCCGAGACCTCCGAGGAGAGGGAGAACGCCGCGAGGCTCAGGGAGGTGGTGAAGATCACCAAGGCCAACACGGTCTACTCGGAGGAGGGCTACGAGGACGCGGCCTACGATCACGCGGGACAGATAAGGGACGCCAATTTTCACGAGGGCTACGCCAAGAAGCTGGAGGAGGAGGCGGATAGAAAGACGAACGGTGGTGGTAAATTCGGCAAGAAGAAGAAGAAGAAAAAGAGATTGAAAAAGGGCAGAAAACGCTACAGACCGAGGAAGGGCAAATCCCGCCGCGCCAAGAGCTATCTCGACGATTACGCGGATCATCTCGAGGGCTCGTCGTCGTTCGAGTCACCCCGAACGACGTCTCCGCAGCAGCAGCAAATAACACCGGAACAGTTGAGTACGCTCAAAAGTGCCCTAAGCAGCTCCGTCCTCGATCCCAAGAAGCAAACGTTGGACGGTTTGAACGAGCTCGAGCGAGACTTGAAGCAGGAGTCACTGGAGGCGATCAAAGCCACGACCGAGCCGTACTATTACAAAACGACGGCCAAGCGATTCAGTCCCGTGCCGTCTTACGAGCCCATCGAGGCTCGAAGCGAGACGACGGTTCGGGACGCGACGACGATCCCGTCGACGACCACGCCCAAGCGCAACGTCTTCACGATCAGGACGCGCAAGCCGACGACCACGCAAAAAGTGTACGTTACCAAAGTGAAACGACCGAGCAATAGATATTCCGCGGGTCCTCCCGGCAGCGATCGACGAACCTACGCGACCGATCCGTATCCCGACCAGACGCCCTCGACGACACCCGTGAATTACGGCGATCTGTTCTGGCAGTATTACAAGAACAATCCCAATCGGACGCCGGCGGTGACGTATCAGCCCAAGAACGGACACGGCCCCTATTTGTACTTCGTGACGTCGAGCACGTCGACGCCTCATACCCAACAGTCGTTTTCCACTCAGCCGGCCGTCGGTAGCACGAGCCACTACGTGACGGCGGCTCCGGAAAACGTCACCAGGACCACCGTTACCTATCCGTACAACGACAGAAATCTCTATCCTTCGTCCGAGGAGTACGTGCCGATTTCTTCGCCGGGCCCGATCGTCGACGTCGATAGAAGAAAGTTCGCGTCCGGCGAGCTCGACAAACCGAACGGCATCGACTCGAAGTATCCTCGAGACGAATTCGAGTTCGACAAAGCCCCTGCCAAGTACCCGAACGTCAAAGAAAATAGCTTCGTGAAATCGCCAATTAATAACGTTCAACGATTCAAATCCACCAAGTATCCGAACGCACAGCTGCCGGATCACGGGCCGCAAAAACAGCAGCGACCTACGAGCGATAATCGCTGGCCGCCCGTCGTTGTTACGCCGGTGAAAAGTGAAAGGCCCGTAGAAAGCGTTTACGACGTCATTCAAAGCGACGAGCGACTGACGCACGGCGAGAAGACAATGACGTTGCCGGTCAGCACCAGGCTGCTGCCACCCTCTCCGTTGAGCGCGAGCGAGTACACGAGTTTTTCCATGCAGAGCAGCGGCAGCAGCAACAGGCGAAGCTACACGACGGTGCCGCCGTCGATCGTGACTCTGGTGCCGATCATCGAAGCGATACACAGATACAAGCAGGATCGTATGTCCATTCCGTTTTTGTTTAGGAAGAAGAGATCTGCAAAGTTTGATAATGGTGATGATAGCGATGATGTTACCGAGGATAGTGACGTTGGGAAATCAAGGATAATCAAGCGATCTGCGAATAAAATGTACTCGTCCAAATTCCAATATTTACTCAACGAAGCTCCGCGTTTCGTTAATACGCAAGTGGATAACGAAATAAATAAACGATTTAAAAACGGTTCCAAAGAAGAATCAAAGAACGAAAAGTCACAAGAATCTTCGAACGAGTCCTCGAGCGGATCGAGCGAATATTCAAAGCATCCAGTCAAGTATAGGAAGAGCAATAAAATCAATTCTGGAGAGAAGCCGTCGGTCGAGGCTGAGGTGCCTGAATTTGACTTCAGTAACGATTCTGTGGAATTCGAAAGTGGCCAAAAACCGGTAACGAAGAAAGCAATAATAGACGACAATAAGTATCCATTTTACAAGGATAGCAGCGAGTTCAGAGATACGGCCATCAAATACATCACTAACCCAACGATCGTACCCAGAAAAACTTTCGGTGGCATGGAATTTTACAACTCGAGAAATCTCGAGTGCGAGGACGTGAATCCAAACTTGGACGGCGTTATACCGAAGGATGAGGATTTGGCGAACAAGCGAGGCCACGTCAAGCATCGAAATAGGTTGCATGGCTTGGGCGACAAGTTGGACTGCTACAAGGCCAAATTTTTCGACGAGGACCCGCTGGACAATCCGCTGTTTCACGAGAAAAAGGTAGATACCCCGTCGCCTCCTCCGGAGCTCGACGCGAGGCAATTCGCCTCGAGAATATCGAGATTGCCGGGAAAGAAAGACGAGTACGTGATACCCATGGGCCCGAAACGACCGGAACAGATGGACTACATCAAGCGCTCTCGTAGGCCTTCGCGAAATCAGCCGACGAGATATCATCCGCGACCGGGAGGAAGCAGACATTATCCCGATCAGCAACGACCACGAAAACCGGCAGCGACCGAATTATTCACCCAGAGACCCAAGGAAGAGTCTTCTTCGGCGGAAAGAGGGGCGAAGAAGGAAGTTTCGAATAAAAAACGACAGAAGTCAGACAAGAAAAAGACTCGTTACAAGATTTCTCCCTCGTATCAGCGACAAGTTTACGAAGACGTGATGGGCAACATAATGCACAATGAAAAATTACCGAAAAATGCGGGCGCCAAACGTGGACCGATGCATGCGCATCCGAAGCACGGTTATCGAGACAAGGGCAACGCGCACAGAGATAACAGGCACGAGGCCTCGAGACACCATCGAACCAACAACGTTAAAGGTCCTATGCCACCCAAACACATATTCGACGTTATCAATCGTAAGCCGGTAAATACTCATTATCATAAAGAAAAATACGTTCCCAGAGGCACCAGGCACTACTACAAGGTATACAAAAGAAGCATCGATTCTCACAAAGTCCAAAATAACAACACGATTCATGAAAAAGCCAAACAGAACGTAGCCGAGAGAAGTCCTTATCCTTTCC